CAACCAGTAAAGGTGGTGTGCCAATTTGGGCCTACTGGTGGTGTACATTGTATCACCACTAAGTTTAAATACATACAATGTACATTGGGGCTACGCCATTATGAAATGACATGAAAATAAGGTCAGCTTGGAGATCATTCTGAAATATAAGGGGTAAACTGGGGGACCGAAAATCACATATGGTCTCTTTTTGACAAATCTACATGTTATTTTTTAAAAGTTCTTCATAATTTTGATCTACTGTGTAACACTAAAGCTGCAAATAATAATAAGAGACCAATTGTGATTTGTGGTCCCCCATTTTACCCCCCTTATACCTGGGAATGGTCTCCAAGCTGACCTTAATTTCATGTCATGCCACCAAATTTGGTAATTCATACAGTATACCAAACATAGCATACACTACAGCATACAGTTGTAACTTGGATACATCGGCATGAACGACACAACACTCACTGATAACGAGTTAGCAAGGTGTAAATACTTACCTGCTTAATGTATAGAGATCAGATTTATATTCATTAGGTATTTTATTGATATAGCCTGTAACGTTAATATAATAAGACATGCAGTCAAATGATAATTATCATATCGTTATTTTATTAATATTTGTCGATAAATATAATTTATAAGTGTTGAAGCAAGTTGTTCGTTTATTGGAATAACTTGATGAAATATAAAATGTCCGGGTATTATTGATTACCTATTAAATGCCATCACTGTAAGTTGACATCGTCTGTATATGACCAAAGCCGTGTCGTGGAAGCCATGCAATCGGCTCGGTGATAAGTCTGCAGTTTTTTTCGTGCATTTGATGACAATTTTCTTTGCTTTATACACTTCGGTTGTCTTAATCAATCAAAATATGAAGACGGAAGAAGTAATACCTCATCCCTACTGGGCCTCGATAAGTTTTGAACCCATTTGCTTAATCTCACAGTCTATTAACGGCAATAGATACGCTTCGACTAAACTAATATGTTGGGTCTATTTTAGGAAGGTACGGACAATGATATACAGCCAATATAGCAGCTATCCAAACCAAGCCGATAGTCTCCCTGAGTAAATGATAGCTTTATACAACATAAGTGAATTTTTAAACACATGATGTTGGTGTGCTGGAGTGATAGCTATAGAGAGAAGATTACTAAGGATAGCTTGTTGCTATGGAGTATTCGATCATGACATCCATTAGTGTTTATTTTGCGAACTAGATATTGTTGCTAAAAAGTAAAACACATTTTTTTTGGAAAGTGAATAGTTTTCTGTTCTTATTAGAAGATATAGGTGTAAATAACATTTCCTTGTTTGACATTTTGTCATGTCATGATTGTGTACACACCATTTTTGTTGCGTTCCCCTATGCATTTTACCTTTCTTTTTGGAATTTGTTTGAGGTAATTATGGCGCTATTTTGAAACAAATTTTCACATACTGAAATAAACGTTTCAGTATGATAACGGGAAAAAATTATAGGTCATATTGTATGTTATGGAGATAAGTTATTCAGTTGAAGTCGATTTATTATGCCATTTTGTTCTTTGACTTACAAAATAATGGAAACGGAAAAAATATGAAAATAGTGTCAGCTAAACATAAATTTTCTTTCATGGTGTCAAATTTCATTTCATTGACGCAATAAAGTGCTCCAAGAAACAAACTCAATGAAAAAAGACAGATGCATGCAATATTAAGTAAATCTGGGCAAATCGCGAGTACTTTTGTACAACCACAATGGTTGATTAAATGGACCAGACAAAAGAAAGTCCACCCATCACTTTAAAGACCAGGTGTCACTGCGGCCATTGACATGTGTACAATGTTATATTGGTTGCAATAACGTGTATAAAGCATCAAATCGCGACGTCTGACATTCATCTTTTCGTCTCTCTACGGAATTTGAACTTTTACTCTTTATATTTGCTTTGTACTTTATAACGCCTACATTGGTACAAGTTCATTTTTGACTATAATGCAGAATTTTCTCTTTTAAAACAAACAGTGTTCTCTTCCCAGACCAGGGCAAACAAACGATATTTGTATTCCCTTCTAAACGTTCAACAATTAGAGATAGAGCAACAACTCCATTTTTAATATGCAGGTTGACGCAGTGAGGATCAGCACCAAATCCACGCTATAACAAATAGGCAAATACACCAAACTGTCGCTTTCACACACGCCTACATTTCGTGCGTGGATGCATGTCCTTCAATGACTTTCGCTATTAAAAGGATGTTAAACTCTAGAACCAAACCCTGACATTACTTACGTTTTGCAGCATCTGATCCATTAACATGTGTTTGTGTTAGCAAATATATGTTGATAAGCAATGCCCTGATTTTCTTTGTGTGTGCTATTTGTGACTACTTGACTGGAAACACAACCGGAAAAGAGTCGTTATCACAAGCTATTTCTATTTGATACTGGTATCGAATTAGTATTGATATTTTGTGTAACAAGGCAGAAAGACACTGATACATCCGGTAAGTGGAAACTTCGTGTACTGGCTGTTTGATATATCTTGTAATCGTTTATATGATGGCACCAAAAGAATCATTAACAGACATAAAACATAACTTCACTCTTCAGGACATTGTATATTCAAGATAAAAACTAATGGCTCCACTTTGTTCAGAATCGAATCAATGGTCAAACGTGTATGAATGTCCCTACAAATAACACATATTTGTTTTACCCTTTTATTGACTTGCTGTGAAAGTTGTTAACAAAGTAAATTACAACTTCTATTTATTTTTATAAACCTCATTATCAAGATATTATCTGATTCTGCATCATTCATCAACACATGGCCAAAACCTCATGTTCAATCAACAATATATAACAAAGAGAACTATGAACGCTGATTGATCTTTGAAAAAACGTTTGTGGGAATATCACATGGTGTACTGGGTGTGAGAGTGTAGAATTATATAATGTTCACGTTATGTACATACACTTTATCCAACGCGGTTAAGCAGTGCATTATTTAAACAAAACAGCCAAAAAAAAGCCATAACCATCCGACTCAAAGTCGGAAGAAAAAAACACCAGCGGGCGCCGAGGCGATACCAGAACCGAATGAAATTCATTCATAACTATCGTCTGTGTTGTGAAGCGTACAACTAAGCGCATGAGATCAAGATAAAATATTATTTGGCTAGGTTACAATATTGGATATAAATAAAGCATAGCTTTTTTACGGATATCACAAAAATGTTCCGAAATGGCTATCAACACTGCTTGTGAAAACCAATTAAGAGATAATTGCATGAATGACTTCACTTTATGAATCGATAGTTGCGCCGTAATATGCAAAAACCTAGTTGTCAAATAATGTTTCTACAGAGACAAAACAAATCATTTTGTTATTTCTACACAAAGTCGACCAATTAAATCGCAGTATTTGGTGTTAAATATAACAAACATTTTTAGATGTGACGTCACAATAGCCGCAAGGTTTTTCTTATTGTTATGTTGAAATACATTTGCCTTGTCCCAATAATGTCCCAATAATATGGCGGGAAAAAGACTGTCTGTTTGCTGAAGTCCTTGTCTTTATTTAGAAACAACAAAAAAGTAATTCCGTCACACAACCATGGAAAAAAATCAAAATAGTCACACATAACCCCCGCACACCAAAAGGTGTTATGCATCCACGTTTATTGTAATAGCTTGGTTCCAGAGCAATTACTAATATAACCCGTGTAATTTTGTATTCCTTGTTCCACTAAACCGTTTTGAATACAGCAAAACAAGACCCATACTTCATCGTCATACTTTTTCATATGAAAGGGCAATGTGTTAAATAAGCTATAGACAGTCCGTCACCAATAGAACCAACGTTTAAGAGAATTATGAGTTAGCACAGGTTTTATCAAGTCACTATTAGACCGTTTGTCTACGATGTCATGCGTGTCCGTTGTGTATGGAGACTTTTCTTCTTATCTGCGGATCTGGTGTCGTTGCGTGTCGCTCTTCAGTTAACTGTTAATAGTTGTAACACGATTGTCTTCGTCGGCGCAATCTGATTCTCGTATTTACACAAGTTATAAACGTGTTTTATTGGTTGTTGTGCGACGAATGATGTTAGGGGAAATGTTTGCTTGCTTATCGACTCGAAGTTCAGCTTATACTATAAACATTGAGAAGTCTGGTGCAATTATATTGATTAAGATGAACATGGCTTGTCAAAGTATGCAGTTTGCAGTATGTTTACGGTGTACATATTTCAACAGATCGATCAAGTTTTTCATACGTCTAAGTTGTATATATTGTTTTACATAGTAAAATGTGGGTGTTTCAATAGAGACTACCCTTACAGGTTCGGTGTCAGTTATTGGCCTGCTGCATCCCACTGCATGATCGTGAGAGAGTATCAGTATGAGTCCACTGCAGAATCCTTAGTTTTCCTCTGCTCATTCTGCATGGGTACATTGTTGAAAGTGATGAATACAACATCGACCTGGTGTCCTAATTGGTTCCACCCTGGTTCCCTATGTTAGGTTTCTCATATAACTACTTTGTTCCTTTCAGTAACGCATTCCCTGTTTACTTCTCTGGTAAACAAAACCAAAACCATTTCACTAGAAAAGCTCTCATCTCAACTTAGTGACGATGCATTGTTTTTGCATTATAAAATGAACCTTGTGTTGTTCAATTACTTCTCGTACCTTTCTACCGTCGCAAAGCAACGGCATACTATTCTAAACATTATAGCAACTCAAAAACACTGCAACTGGATTATAATTCAATACACACTTTTGTTTATTTCAATTTGTCACAAATAATTTATTGAAATGTGTTGTTATAGCATCTCGTTTTCAAAGAATATTCTATTAGTAGATCACTGGGTAATAATGTTTGCTTTAAGGTACCACGTGATCAGAGTAGCCATCTTGAAATAAATCACCGGGCAGCTGCAAGACATATGAAAAATATGGATTATTACGTCATTCAAATATATGTTTAACGAAAAGATTCTTACCATTTTTCTTTTCAAGGGCAAGTATATCCAATCAACTCAATAGATACCGCCTGTTGGAGAGCATGTACACGCACCCGGATACATTTAATGAAAACGATCTGGCCAGATTTAATGACCAGAATCTGACACTTGAAGATTTGTTTCTCCAATCAGCTCATCAGAAAGAAGACTTCATTACCAGGTACAAACTTCGTTGCATATTTCAGGTTAACAACTGTATTATATGGTCAAGCTGTTCTGTCAAGATCTTCAAAAAAATAAAAGTAAGATATGGTGAAATGTGTTACAGTAAAGTAAACAAAAAACCGTTTGTTTTCCATTTTGTTGACATGTTTCTGAATCCTTGTGTACACTTGTTATGGTTACATGTTGATGACCGCCCTTTGTTTCACGTTACAATATCGAGTTTCTGTCACCCTCTGTCCCGTGTTGTGAGGAGGCGTCCCAAATTGTGATCACATGTTTCTCCGAAGCTTTGTCATGTGTTTTAATTACATGTTTCTATTAAAACTTATTTGCGCCATTTTTTTGATAAATGAATAACGCAATAATTCGTTGAAATGAGCCAAAAATCCTACGAACGAGACAAAAAGTCGTTCTTGCGGAAAATGGCGCGAATACGCTTATTATGTTTCAAACTTTACTAAATAGTAAAATATTAGAAAGACGTTTTTTAACTAATAACATTATAATCACACCTAACAATCAGAGCCATGTTTCTTCGTTTATATTTAAAATATTAGGTATTCGAAAGTTATCTAGAATTAAACTTAAGTGCATAATGTTAATTATTGTAGGTGTTTCTGGAAGGGTTTGCCGTGTACCACGGCCGACTTCAACACTACACTTACCGACCATGGTGTATGCTACACATTCAACGAGGGGAGAAACCAGGAGTATATCTCGTCCGTTGGTAATATGTTTAATTTGTTAGATGAGTTCATTTTCATTTTCTTTGTTTTATCCTTCCATTGAACTTCCTGGTGATATTTTGCAACTTTAATTATGTTGAAAAGGGACTATCCACAGTGGATTGTTCAAAGGTGGAATTGTCCTGGAGTATGTTAAGGATCCCTTTCTCACAACACTGTTTGGACAGTAATCATGGTCAAGCAGTGATTCCAGGTTCAAACCATCTTTCGTTTAACTCGTTTTAATAATGTAGCACTATCAGATATCAAATTTATGAAAAAACGAAATGTGCACTTTGTATTTATTATCACCAGAACAAATATCACCTTGAGCTCACGCCCACAGTTTGATTATGATAACGACATCGTGAAAAGGGGCCCTGGTATGCTGTTCTGCACGCGCAATGTATCAAACGATATTTCAACGCGTTATGAAGTATGAACTGTGAAGGGGTAATTGCTTACAATGTGTATGTGCCTCTTAAATGGGGTTTTGTTTTAATATTTCTCTTGGATTTTTTGTACAATTGGCAAACATACTTGACGCTATCGTTGCTCATCCATCAGGTCATCCCTGGCAGCTAATTCTTTTCACGAACAATCTTACATGTAGCCTCACCTTGAATTCAACCTTCCTAAACCAGGCAACCGTCTGGTTTAAATTGTCCGTATTGTAATTAAACGATGAATACTAAGTGGATTAAGGGATCAATAGATAATTATTACGACAGATTAAAAATTAATGCCAATCATATTTGTCTCAAAGTTATTGGAATCTGACTAACGACGTTGCAATTTCCCATGCATGATAGATAAAGCCTTGAAACAATTTCCTAGCGTTCCGTATACAAAGACTTTATATATCGCGTAGCCATTGCCAATCAGTGCGCCATCCGTGACCTAGTTTGGACAGCTAACCACTCCACTATCTAGTGATAATGCAAATTGAGATTAACTCTCGATAATGATTTTTTTACGATAAAATCGAGAGAGTTACTCCCTGGTCTAATTGCAGTTCATTAGCCATGATGATGTCCCTCTTAATACCGACTAAAGTCCAATGCATATCATAAACATTCCATATCACTTTCTATTGAATATGTCTGGACGTTTACTGGAGTATGTAAATTGTCTAATTGCAAATGTGTGGTCAGGTTATTACGTTCCGTGGATAAATTGTAAATAAATATATGACAATGTGTCAAACAGTTTGATGGATGTGACATCATTACTCCTCTTGTTTGCAATTATATCAATTTAGTCATCAAATTGATGTCAACATACCCCCACTGGTCCGAACGGATTTGGGTAATTTGGTACACATGCCCACATTCATTGTGTAAACAAGCGATTCAACCAGTATCGGATATAAACTGAAGTCTCTTTGGTAATAATCTAATCATTATTATAGGATTGTGAGACCGTCCATAGCTTGTGAGATTAATTATTAGGAAATTTTGCCGATAATGTAATCAGAAGTAGATTGTGAAATTCATTGTGGCGAATGTTTGGCCATATTTTACCAATAAAAGTTTGCCCTTTTCCCTAATCAGATTAGATTGTCAACGCTCAAATACAATATCCGAAATCGACGACAAACATTAAAAACTATACAATTATTCAATTCATCAAACTTGCAATATATGGTCTGTGTCAATAACAAATGCATTATTGAAGCAAATAACCAGCAATTCAATAGTATACCAGCTGGTGTAGATCCACGGTCGTCAATGCGTTTGAATACTGGAATACAGTTGAGTGCAGCTGCAAAGCATTACATTGCAATGATGAAATTCTCTCCATTATTGTGCAGTGCTAACAAAAACAATGCTTAACATTTGGACAGAGTTTGAGGGAGAACAAACTACATCTTCAAAACAGGAATCGTTCGTTTGACGTTTTATTTGTCTAGTGACGTAAGAGTAAAAATTGCAGATTTTGTTTTTCAAACCTCTTTTTTAATATTTCAGTTTTATCATTTACCCCCATCCTCATTCAGTCCACACCTTTTCACTCCCTTCGTGTCATCATTTTGAATACTCGCACGTACATATAGGATTAATATTTATTTATTTTAGAATTATAGAAAATCTATAAAGCAGTGGTTTCTGGTCAGTTTATATTGAGCACATCACATGGTAATTAACCACCATGTGTTGTTCACGCCCTCGAGTTTCCCTGGTCATATTTTCCGCATTATAAAACTCTCTAGACAAATGAACAAGATACATTACTCATAGTGACTTTTATATGCAACGATAATGCCTATAAGCGTAGTTATCATGTGTACGTTAGAAAACACCTTTTTTCTATTTCAGAACAAATAAAAAATACATGTAACACTTTGCAAATGACCTTATTATTTATTGAAGAAAATAAAAAGAAAAAAAAATGTATTGTATATAAGTGGTGTAAATATTTTATGTACAGGGGTGGAGAACGGCCTACGACTGACCTTGAACGTGGAACAATATGAGTATATGCCTGGCCCCCATGACGCCGCGGGGGTGAAGATGTTACTGCACGCTAATGGAGAGGTACCGCGTGTGCACGCGCTGGGTCAGGCGGTGTCCACCGGTGCTCACGTGTTCGTCGGTGTCAAGGTGTTCCGCGTAAGGATCTTGACACCACTTATAGGGTCCTAAAATAACCTTAATTCTAGGATTTTGTGAATGGCTGGGTCCTATTGGTAATCTGATTTAAAACTGTGGTAACTTTTCATTTTTACACTTCTGTGGTCACCGTGTTATGATGTTACCTTTCAAAGACATCCCAACTGTCAAAGACTGTCTCAATTAAATATTCTTTTCGACCTTTATATTGATTTCGAAAAAATGTGTTTCCTTAGTTTTTTGTTTCCTATTTTTCATATTGAATATCCGTGGTACATTACCACTGTAGCATATGCGAGACTCATATTTAAGAATCCCTCGTACTATTGCCAAAATAGATATGTGCATTGAAAACTCTACTTCATCCGTGACTATAGCTTTGATAAATCATTTCTGAAACCCAGATATTGCTGAACTTTCACTAGAAGTTCAAAAAGATTAAAGAAACAAAATCACTACAATTTTCTAATTGTAAAGGAGACGTTTTCAAGAAAAGCTATAATGGATTTGTTTAGTGTTTTGTCGGCAGTGGGACAGACATCCTTAATATATTAACACATATGGTAAGTGTAGGATATGTATTGTAGATAAGTAACCTGCCCCGCCCGCACGGAAGTTGTAGAGAACACACACTGGAGTATGTTGATACGTTTTCGATGGACGCTTGTCAGATGGACTGTCTAACTTCCCTGGCCAAGTTGAGATGTGGTTGTCGCCACGCCTACATGCTACATAAAAACGGTATGTATCATGAGTTCATTAAACATATCATCTTCTTCTGGAAACTTTAACAAATCTTTCACAAGGTCAAATATGTCACATGTAGTCTGTAAAACCGCTATTTAGTGTTCGAAATAAAATAAAATAGCTTTTAAAGTCAATTAGATGTAGCATATTAGAACTTTATCAATGAGCTCTTGACACCAGTCAAGCTTCTATATCAAACATATCCAGCCGATCAAAAGGATTTTCTCCCATTTTTATATTTTGACATAATAACAATTTTCTAATATCAATCATTATCATCAACGAGGAAAAAACATTAGTTTCTATCATTATGCCTAATATAAATCACCTATAAATTCAGTGAAAATATACTTCATGCTAATGCAATTTTGTTTGATGACAATTTCATTTCATTAAAGAAAGGTTTTTGAAATATTGCCACCATGTTATCATCTTTCATTCTGATGCAATTGATACTCGACGTCAGTTACAATGCAGTAACTGTGCGATATTTCCATTTTAAGATTTACTCTTTGTTAATGTAATTCGCGTTTGATGACAATTACACCTAAGTGAGCGGAATGCATTTGAAATATTTCCATAGTGAGTTTTTTATGATGAAGGAAATATTGTTTGACGACAGTTACAAATAAAAAGCTTTTGAAATATTATTTCGTTGAATGTTTTGTTCCAGGTGACCCCCCAGTGTGCACGCTATACGAGTACTTCAAATGTCTAAAGCCACTCATCGGTATGCTGTGTGACACAGACAACGGACACTTTATTGTTTCTGTGAAGAAGCACGATTTCTTACTTATTGTGTCAAACCTAACATACCATAGATATTTATACCGACTGGAGCATCAATGCCCCTTCACTAGGTGACATAGAATGGAACTCCTTATTTCAATAAACAGTAGCACACCTATCTTCTCTTCATCGTGCTATGATTATTCCTTAATAGAGTCACGTGATAGTTTATGCCAAAGCCTCAAATTCGTCTAGTAACATTATCTGCCTGTTTGTTACACGAATTTGATAACATCTCTCACTGCTATGAGTGTAACCAAACTGGCAAATTATAAAAGTCGATGTAATTGTTCACCAAGCTCTCGCAATTTTTCATAATAGACTGAAGTTGGCTTCCTGATATTAGGTTTTCGAAAAAAATTCTTTCGAAGAATACCAATTATACCAGACTCGATATAGTTATTCATACGTATATACATGTATGTGTAATTATATATATATAAAAAAAAAGTGAAAACAGTAACAGAACGGTGATTATAAGAAAATACATAAAGCCCTAAACCTGAAAAGAAAACAAATTTGAGCTACAATATTTTACAAATTGTCTGTTGTAAACTGTAGTTGTATTTTGAAACTTCATCAAGAGAATATACAACTGACGCTAAAATAAACATGACATGACATCATCTACATTACCATTGACTGTATCATCTTGTCGTCTTGCAGATGAGTTTCCCAGTATACATGATACTCTTTGTGACTGCCCTGTGCCTTGTAATTTCATTATTTACGAGCCGGACATCTCGTATGCCTCCACGTCTCAGTACGCTGTCAACAAGTTCCTTAGCAACAACGACAAAGGTATTTATGTAAACAACGTCACATTTGCTGATATATATTTACGGATCCAATATGTGTATTAGAGTAAATCGCTTTTTTTGCTGTATGTTATATAGATAAATTATTGTCTGTGTTTGCACTCTTTGCCCATATAATGATGTCCTGTGTGGACTATACTCCGTCAGTCATGAAAAACAGCAAACGCTATCAAAATGGCATCGCTTGAGTAGTGCGGGAAAGAATGAAGGACATGCGTCCCAAAACTGTAGATATACATTTTTACTTATTTAATAGAAATTAAAAACTGAAAGAAATATGTAATTTTCTTATAAGTATAATAGTTATAAATATCTTTAGGAAGATAAACTAAAAAAAACTTACTTGTTGCAAATTAAAGAAAACGTATTGCTACGTGCATATACAGTGTACTGTTAACATCACAAAAACTCCCGCTTGGCTATAGGGGTTATCCATCAAACGTTATAGACCTTCTAATACACACGCCCTTCAAGGGTAGATAATAATGTTTCTGAAACCGCCATGGTTCGTATCAAGTTTAGTTATTCACATTTATCGACACAGAAGACGTAAGATCCATAATTATTATCTTACAGCGGTTTTGTCGGCCGAACTGCTGAAAGCTACAGAGGTGACTTCACGGATGGAAAATTCAACATTTCAAAGAACAGTGACCCTGGCTAAGAACTTAGAAAAAACACTGAATGACGTTGAGCATCTAGTGTTGGATAACCTTTCTACCATGATTGATGATCTCAGTATGATGGTAAATGACAGTTATTCCGAGACATTTGAAATCTATTCCAACAAAGAGTTTCTATACAGATTTCAAGAATACATCGTAAAGAAGAATTTCATACGTGCAAGGGACGCTATGGAAGAGAGGGTCATTCATATAGTTGCCTTGGCGTACGCTGAGTATATCTTAACTATTGAAAGTCGAATTAGGATGATGGCTAATGAAAACTTTACTGACCATTCCGCGAGGCTTATGATGCATGAGACCACGACACTCATGCTACAAAATCGAAAGGCAATCGTAAACCTAGCATTCGACAATTATTCCACGCTCATCAATGCTTATGATATGGGTGCTCCTATTTTTAACTATTCGTTTGAAGGCCTAGGGCGACATTTTAATAGACCAGCAACGCCAAGGCATCTTATTATGGAAGCACGCGTCCATAATAGTTATGCCGTCAAGTACGGGCAAAAGTACGGCCTATACTTGAACAAAACTATTGAGCGATTGGAGTGGCTACAGGAACTCTCGGATGTTGCTTTTTATAACTCGACTTTGGATGAAGATCGGATGTTTTACTGTAGAGAGGAGTTCAAATACTACATGCGCAATTTTGTTTTTGCAAGAAGTGTGTTCTATTTTGATACAATAGAATGGCCGATTGGGGTCTTACAAAAACGATTAGAATATTTCAATAGCATATGGTCGCAATATTCAACATTAATGGAAAATATCTTGCAAAGTTTAAAGTCTCTAGAATTAGAACTAGACAAAACAGATGCTCTATTTTTAAACCCGCTAAACAACGTTCTATGGGACATATCGCAGTATATACACGAAGAGAATGCTACAAAAATGGCCATTGTTGAATTGCTGACGTCACAGGGCATACAGGACGGGATGACTGAGTTCAAGATGTTTTTCCAAAATGTCCGCGTAAGGGAAACAAATTTAATTGACTGGGTCAATCGTTTGGAAGAAGATGTATTAGAAATGTGGAAGATAGTTGTAGATGATATTGATTCAATGGAATATTATGAATACCTGAATGAATCTCGGCTTCTTCGCAACTTTTCAGATGTCGCAATAGAAATTCGTTCCGCTTTCTCAGAAATACGGAACATGTGTCAAATGTCACAGATAGTTGACAACAAAGACGCACTATTTCTGGACGCACTCGAGGCATTCATAGTCGACGCAAGAGCATTCAAAGAGTCCATCATAATAGATAGTGATTTCATCAAGTGAGTATGATTAAGACGTAAGCTTGTTGAATACGGTTGTCCTTTTGTAGATTGCTTTAAAATTGATTTTATTCGACAGAGTACAGTGTATAAACGACGGTTATAACTTTTTAGATAAGGTGCATGTCTAGTGTTTATTTTACATCACAGGGTTGTTAAATCTGCTTGTGGATTAGCAGTCCCCGCGGTTGGCCGTAACTCTGTAGCTAGAATTAATTGTATTGCAGTTAACAGGAAATAATGATTTAATAATATATCATCTGTTGTTTCTAAAGTGGTAAAATGGTGGTGTCATAAAGGGTTATATAGGCACCGTCTCCGACTATGGACAATATCTCTGTGTGTGGTCACTTTGGTTACATAATTTTAACACCCATTAAAAAAGAAGAAACGTTATCGTCAATCCCTCAGGATTCATAAAAGATGAAAAATACTTTTTTCATGTCAAGTGGTGTAGTATGGGCAAATTCCAACCAACGAGTTTGAAATTGGAGAAAACCCGATGCCTGTAAAGGATTATAATTTGCATGTCGGTTTTTTGGTTTTAAAATCATTAGAAAATACTGATTACTGATTAGAAACCAAATTTACCAATGTTTAGTAGATACGGCGGTTTCTGAAATTATCAGTGCAAAAAAAAAGATACCAGTAAGGGTACAGTACCTAGTTCTTAGTCTTGAATCACACATTTTATGCGAATAACTTCGTATTGTTATTTCAGAAATAACTTCCTTCAGCTCGATATCTTCTATCGACAGATGAGCTATGAGGAAATCAACCAGCAAGAAGCATATGATATATTTGCCTTACTTTGTAAGTATACCGTTTGCATCACAAATCAACATATCAATAAATGTAGAAATCCAATTTATTAATTTATAACATATATCATGCTTTAATGATTGGGTTTAAACCAAATTACTGTATAACATGACATGTTCGTTGTATATAATCATTCGTGGTTTTCGTGGAGGCTACGGAACTACGTGGAGGCTACGGAATCCACGAACGTTTGTACCACGAAACGATCTAAATTGCTTCAAGCAACGAAAGAAAATACCCACGAACATTTCATGTTATACAGTACTTTGAGCGAGGTCAACGCATCACGAAATAAAATATGTTTTATTGGATATCATCGATGGAATGCGTACTGTAAACCTTTTATAGGCGCACATATTGCAGCTATTCCATGACAAATTCCGAGTTACATGCTTCATGATTGATCGCCAAAGCTACATATGTTATGTGTTTATAGTATGCACGGATTCATTGATTTGATATTCAGCGGTTATAACCAATTGAGCCCGTGAAACACTTTCACTAAATTTCGTGTTTTTTTATTTTGTTGATTTTGTGGGTTTCAACAGTAATTTAGACCTATTTGAATTTCAAACTCTTTCGGCTCCTAACATCACCTATGAGTGCTACAAGGGCAAAATAGATGCATGATGCAGTGTAATTCATTTGTGGTATATTGTTTCAAATAGCAAATTGTAAAGGTGCAATAACTTGTGTGTGTGAGTTACATTCAACTTTCTAAATGTTTTTGAATGTTAATTTGTTAATTGTTACCTGCGCATTCGTTTTACCTCAACGACCTCTAAAGTATTATTACCGCTAATCATTTACAGTATGTCCTTCGCTTTTTTATTCTTTCAAATTTTGTTTTATATATACTTGCAGGTGATATCGGTGGATCCATGGGACTGTTCCTTGGTGCAAGCGTGTTGTCAATAGTCGAGGTCTGGGATCTCATTCTGGTACAAATTCTTGCTAAAACCAGACGAATGATGTCAATAAGTGCTTCCAGTGAGAAACGATGAAAAAAAGACCGTCGATGTTGTAGTGGAGACAGGGTAGACCCACGTCCTGCACGTGGTAGCACCGGATTATTGGTGCTGTTTTTTATAATCTGGTAATAAGACATATCTATTATTCCTTATCAGTAAGTGTCTGTAGGACATACCGGCCATCGAATGCGAGACGCATCTCTTTCTACGTTATCTAGTTAACGAAATATTTTACTTATTGATATTAAAAATATGGATAACGGACATTACTACGTATCATTCCTTTCATACGTAAGATAAATAACTAACAAACAACCATGTATTGCTGGATATATCAAAGAGCTACAGTAATTGATTATTCAGGAGGATTCGTTCTCAATATGGAATACATCAAAATGGTTAATCCTACAGCCGTACGTGCTTCTGCCGGTCAGGAACTTGGTTAATGACCGCCAGAAACCTACAGGCATTGTATCAAGAGGGGTCGGATAACCTACACAGTGAGCCATTGTCCAGATACGTACATATGTATGTACTATAAGTAAAGCATATACACTTAAGGCCAAAAATACCTTGCTATGTAGTATTTCAGAAGGCATTTAATCGGAATATCACACTAATATACTACATCGGCGATGGCATGAAAAATCAAATATTGATAGACTTTGTTAAAGAGAAAATATAACGGATTGTTGTATGAGATTTGTGACGTCTATAAGTGATTGTTTTATATCAAGGATATACTAGGATATGCTAGGCTAAATGAAAACGTTAGGACGACTTTGATAGCATATTACTTAGTAAATTAAGTCAAATTGAATATTGCTTTTACTAAACCAACAAAGTAATAATACGAATATTCTCTGACTATCGTTAGTTCGTTATCGATGCCATCTGGAAGGCTAACACCACCGCTATTGACATATTGAACTATATGCGATGTTACAATCAAGGCTATCGAAACATTATTTCACACCAGTAACATAAGACCAAACTATGGTATGAGTGCATTTACACATCACACGAATGTTATGTGAAAAATGAAAGGTACATGTAACATAGTGTCATTACATTGTAAAAAATTATCATTTTACTTGCAACATAATATCGCGTTATTAATGCCATAATATGATATTACTGGTTATATAATATCGCGTTATTAATGGCATAATATGATATTAATGGTTACATAAAAGCATGTTATTGATGACATAATATAGTATTACTGGTTACATACTATCGCGTTATTAATGCCATAATATAATATTACTCGTTATATAATATCGCGTTATTGATGACATAATATAATATTACTGGTTACATAATATCATGTTATTGATGACATAACATATCATCGTTACCCTTATTTCATGTTATCGGTACTCTCTTGTCATTGGTAGCATAACATCATGTCACTGGTAACACAATATAATTATGTATCTTGTCTTTGGTATCATACTATTATGCTATCAGCAACAACATATCATATCATTGGTAACATCATATACATTTTCATTGGTAACGTAATACAATGAGTATTTTATCATTCGTGACGTAATATCATGATATTGGTAACTTCATATACTGTCATTGATAACAAACTATTATGTCATTGATAACAAAATAGTATGTCATTGATAACACAATATTATGTCATTGATAACACATTAGTATGTCATTGATAAAAAAATGTCATTGATAACACACTATCATGTCATTGATAACACATTATTATGTCATTGATAACACAATAGTATGTCATTGATAACACACTATTGTGTCATTGATACCACAATATTATGTTATTGATAACACACTTTTATGCCATTGATAACACACTATTATGCCATTAATAACACATTATTTTGCCATTGATAACACACTATTATTCCATTGATAACACAATAGTATGTCATTGATAACACAATATTTTGTCTTTGATAACACCCTATTATACCATTAATAACACACTTTTATGTCATTGATTACACACTATTATGTCATTGATAACACAATATTTTGTCATTGATAACACAATATTTTGTCATTGATAACACAATATTATGTCATTGATTACCCACTATGTCATTGATAAAACAATATCATTTCATTGATAACACACTAGTATGTAATTGATAACACGATTTTATGTCATTGATAACACAATAGTATGTCATTGATAACACAATATTTTGTCTCTGATAACACCCTATTATACCATTAATAACACACTTTTATGTCATTGATAACACAAATTATGTAATTGATAACACAATATCATGTCATTGATAACACACTAGTTTGTCATTGATAACAAAATATTAAGTCATTGATAACACAATAGTATGCCATTGATAACACAATAGTATGTCTTTGATAACACACTATTATACCATTAATAACACATATTATGTCATTGATAACACAAAAGTATGTAATTGATAACACAATATCATGTCATTGATAACACACTAGTATGTTATGGATAACACAATATTTTGTCATTGATAACACAATATTTTGTCATTGATAACACACTATTATGTCATTGATTACCCACTATGTCATTGATAACACAATATCATTTCATTGATAACACACTAGTATGTTATTGATAACACGATTTTATGTCATTGATAACACAATATTTTGTCATTGATAACAATGATATACCATTAATAACACAATATTATGTCAACGATAACACAAAAGTATGTAATTCATAACACAATATCATGTCATTGATAACACACTAGTATGTCATTGATAACACAATATTTTGTCATTGCTTACACACTATTATGTCATTGATAACACAATATTTTGTCATTGATAACACACTATTATTGTATTGATAACATACTATTATGTCATTGATAACACACTTTTATGTCATTGATAACACAATATTATGTCATTGATAACACACTATTATGTCATTGATAACACACTGTTATGTCATTGATAACACACTATTCTGTCATTGATAACCCACTATTTTGTCATTGATAACACAATATTATGTCATTGATAACATACTATTATGTCATTGATAACACACTATTATGTCATTGACTACACACTTTTATGTAATTGTATAAGACATTGATTGGTGTATATTTGTGATAAACTTCATTTCCACACAAAACCCCCCACTGATCATTAAGATTTGCATAGGGCGTTTATGAGTGTAATTCTTGCTTTATATTATATTTTCAAAAAGGAACTTGATGAGTGTAATACTTGTGATAAAACGTATTTTTACAACAAAGCATACAATCAATCATGTGCATTTGATAAACTCTACGCCTAAGAGAGAGCAGTTTATTCATTCTGGCATCTCCTAGAAATGTGATGCTGGACGCGGAACCATTGAGTCCTGGCACATCATAAATGTATATAATGGTTTTATTCTTATAAGTAATTATTGATCTTAACTAATTAATGGAAACGAAGATATACACATCTGGTATAGATCCATTGACTGATTGTGGTCTGTTTACATAAATATCAATAAATGTCGAGAAGATATCCCTGAACACGGTCCATAGGGAGGGTTGTCTACATATGTCATGCATGGAAATGACTTGTTAATTATATTTATGTAGAACAGTTGATCCTTAATTCAGTCAGCAAGCCATTGTAATTACCTGACAATCATTTATAAGGACAACTCAAAGATACCATAGATTGCTCATTAATAGCTTTGCTTTTAGCGTACATGCCAGCTGCATGTATTCTGTGTGTTTGTGGAAGTACAGTGTCTCTAAATATACCGCATATGATGATGTTAATGGACTCTACACGATATACTTTATTTTTGTAATAGAGTTAAGAGAACTGTCAAAGAGCAAAATTCTAGTCCAACGTGTCCCAGAAAGTAACCCGGGTTTCCTCTAGCCCTGACACCAAATCAAAACATTTTGACAAAACAATATGTCTGGATCTGTCAATATATCGTCCTTGTCTGCCGTCAGAGCCAGAGGAAACTTGGGCTACCCAGTAAAAGTGGACAATTTCGCGGGTGGAGATGTTGTTGCGGCTCTTTGAACTGATTGCGGTTTAGAAATATTCGCGTTGGTTCTGAAAGCTTTGTGTTTCATGCACCTATAGCTATAATCTATATAATCTGTAAAACTATTGGCGTGTGGATATTTTCACGGTAATTTACACATTTACACATCGCAAAAATTGCCATTCTTTACAGGATGTGAAGTATCGCTGTAGGAACCAGCAATTGTTGTACTTTGAGTTTATTTGTCCAATATCGAATAAGTACATGCAACCAAATTGGGAGATATTTAATATCCCATAAGCAGGTCACACAGATTTGGTTCCACAACAGGAACTACTAAGAACAGGAAATGTATTTGTTTAGAATGCGAATTTTACTAATTAGCCTTTCAGCGGTTAAATAATTATTCATTTTCTTTTTATGTTATCATGACGAGATATATTGTAAAATTGAAAGTGGTAAATATGAAAGATAACCCCAGCATATCAATGTTGGCTACAAGCGAGGAAGGATAAATGCTATGCTGTATCATCAAAGGTGTGTTAAATATATAGCATAAAATGTATACATGTACATGCTGTAATGGGAATATGTTTGTGTATTTGTGAGTTGTAAACATTGTAACGTTATCATTACACGAAGTCAAACATTTTACAAAACGGAAGATAAATTCATAATTGATGTCAGCGTCATTTCATTAAGTATCAAGTCAGATGCATTTAAGTACATGCATCATTCAATAAAAATCTGTTACATTTCAATATCATTTCAGTATCGAGTCAGTATCATTTCAGTATCATTTCAGTATCATTTCAGTATCGAGTCAGTATCATTTCAGTATTATTTCAGTATCACTTCATTATAATCTAATTATCATTTCAGTATCATTTCAGTATCGAGTCAGTATCATTTCAGTATTATTTCAGTATCATGTCGGTATAATCTAATTATCATTTCAGTATCATTTCAGTATAGTATCATTTCAGTATCATTTCAGTATTATTTCAGTATCATGTCGGTATAATCTAATTATCATTTCAGTATCATTTCAGTATCGAGTCAGGATCATTTCAGTATCGAGTCAGTATCATTTCAGTATTATTTCAGTATCACTTCATTATAATCTAATTATCATTTCAGTATCATTTCAGTATCGAGTTAGTATCATTTCAGTATCGAGTCAGTATCATTTCAGTATTATTTCAGTATCACTTCATTATAATCTAATTATCATTTCAGTATCATTTCAGTACCGAGTCAGTATCATTTAAGTATCGAGTCAGTATCATTTCAGTATCGAGTCAGGATCATTTCAGTATCGAGTCAGTATCATTTCAGTATTATTTCAGTATCAGGTCTGTATAATCTAATTGTCATTTCAGTATCATAACAGTGTCATTTCCGTAGCATTTTGAGTCATTTCGGTGTCAGTTCAGCATCATTTCAGAATCATGTCAGAATCATTTGAGTGTCATTTCAGTTTTATTTCAGTGTCATGTCAGAATCATAGAAATGTCATTTCAGTTTCATTTCTGTATAATGTTAGTATCATTTAATTGTCATGTCAGTATCATTTTTGTGTCATTCCAGTACCGTAACAAGGGTTGTGTAAGTGTATCTGAATATTAAATCAGTATCGTCATTAAGCAAATGAAAATTAACATACAGTGTAATTGTCAATATTCTCCCACATTTCGTTCTCGCATATTTGTGTATCCTCTTTGGATTTGAAATAAAGTGTGTTATATTGTAGATAAAATTAAAAATGTAATTATGTATCGAAGCGTTTTGTTGTATTTGATATTTTCTAATGAGCTGTGCATATGTCAGGGCTATTTGGTCATTCGTCATTGATCATAAATCACCAGATATGTATTGTATATCTATTGCACATGTACCAACTGACATTTGCTGTTCACTGCTAAAACTATACATGACCAGCCCACGAGAGAACAGCTGATCTGATGAAATCTACATACTTGGCACTACTCCACTCTATCATTTATATACACTTGTAGGTCATCAACACATGATATATATATTTTCTCACTTGACGCCGTTGTGAGGGATTGTTACATTCAGTTCCGGCCTTATATATATATACTTTTAAAATACAAGTAACTTGGCCAAAATAGCATCAGCACCTGGTTCTAGCCAAACAAGCTTTATCGCAGAAAAGTTCATCTAGCACAACCACTTACATGTCTATGTGTGACGTTTTGATGACTAGCACGGTATGTTCTATTCAGTCTTTGCGTATTGAAGAGTTATCTTCTCTTGTGAACAGGTACATTGTATTGATTGTTACGTCATTGGTTTGTGTGCGAAAATTACGTCGTTTTCTCAAAAATTGATGACGTTACTCTCACAAACAAATGACGTAACAATCAATACCTGCTCACAAGAGAAGATAACTCTGCAATACGAAAAGACGGAATATCACCCTCATCAGATAAATAACCAATATAGCTTTACCGAATCAACGTCGATTTCATATTGCCAACTCGTATACATTTTACATACGCATTAGTCATCTGTCGGATGAAGGTGAGAGAGTACATACAATGTATCGAACCGAACTAGTCATTGAAACCTCACACATATACATCATTAACACTTAACTGGTTGTGCTACAGGAGTTTTCCTACGATTCATGTCTAACAAATTGAAGAAAATGTTTAGAAACACAAGTAAGCTCAAGTGTTGTTTTTGGTACATATTTATCATAGAAACTTTATTTCAAGCTCAATCTGAGGTGAACAGAGTGATTGTGATATTTCGATTTTGGCCAGTTCTTGAGATAATTACAAAAATTGAATTGAAAGATTGGCAAATATCGAACACATTGGCAACCTCTCCTTCAGCCATGTGTGATACACATTTGCTACCTACCGTAAATTACTGGTAAGGTTTGCTACAAGTATGACAGGCTGAAGTTTCTGTTGACAATATAGGGAATGTGAAAGTTTGTAAACATTTCTGCTAATGTGTCAAAGGTATGAAATATGATACATTTACAGAATACCCTTTTCGCTGGACTAGTCTGTTTATACTCTCAAGCTCGTTGAAAACATCAACAGCAAAGACACAAATCTTCAAGGAAGACATTTTATTTCAAACAGTGTTTTTAAAACATAATTATGCAACTGAAGCAAAACACATCCCCACACACCCCCACAATTTGTTCAGAAGAAATTCCAATCATACAGACTCATGTATTTCATGTACAATTTCCCACTCAAACATAAGGGAATATATATAAAGAGTTGTAAGACCTAACTCAATAACAGATGCAAGATCCTTAAAATGGATCCACCAGGGTTTCTATTTTCATTCAACTCAGTCAGCCCTGAAATTTCATAATGAACCATTCCAACCTTTGAATTGGAAGAGTTCAAATGTGTCTGCAGTGGTGAATGAGTTAAAACATACATTTTGTATTTAGATAAATAACTCATAAACAAATGAATTCTTAATCGATAATGAGACTTTGAATCAAGTTTTTATATACACATTTGCAGATACCATACCTTACTGGGCTGTGATAAATTATCCTCTGTCTGAATTTCTCAACACAAGGTAGATAGTACAATCAACACAAGGTAAAGTACATGCATATTTTCAAAAATGTTGAAATTCAACAAAACAATCCTTTAATGACAAGAAACATAATAATATTCAAAGTTTTAGATTTTTTTTAAACATCACATTATGAAACCCTTCATGACTGACTCAATACCGGATCAGGCTTTTACAACCGGGCCTAGCTGAATCCTGGTAATTACATTTCTTTGACATCTATTAAAAGGTTTGGTTTACTTCATGAAAAAAAAATGAAAACTAATTCGGAACATTTACAATGTTAAGCATCAGAAGAGAACACACAAATGTTATCATACTTCATGTAGTAGTAGAGGTCTATGGGTAACCATCACACAAACAAAGTAAATGTTAACAAGAATTGATGGTGTCAAAAACATAATGAACTGGTAGGAACTCTAGGATGGTTTGGGTGTGAAAACTATTTACAGTGGTTGGTATCGAATACACAACACTATTTACAGTGTGTGTGTATCGAATACACAAAATCATTACATAAAAAAACAAGCAAATCGGATTGAAATGTCTCACCTATACTCCTCTTTGACCATCAATGCAAATATCAGAGAAACTCAAAATCTTAATGTTGATGGAGATGCTTACACCGTCAATGGACCATGAAAGGTTGGCCACATCCAGCATTTGATGCATGGGTTGAGATGTACTACCTAAGATGCATCTAAGGTCCCAGTTTGGTTGGTCTAGCAACTTATACTTTCAGTGAAACTAACTTAAGTACTAAAACTTTATGTTGATGCCATCATCGCCAGAACAGCAACACCTTAGTCTCACCTTCACTATGTGACGGCGAGACAAAAGCATAAAATTATGTCGGTCAGAGCTGAATAATTGTAAAACGGTTTTAGTAATCACATACATCATTTACAGCATAATCTGGCGATCAATTAGTGTCAATTGTGTGCTACTTATACTCGGCTAATGCGTAACAACACCATATTTTGATAATGCACTAATGACTTAATCACATGTTTTGAAAATTATAGCAGTAATTTCTGTAAAAACTTAGTCCATCAAAATAAACATCTGGAAACGTTCACCACTCAGTAACTTACATTTGTTCACCATTACTATACCGTAGGATTTCATACATTTCATACAATACTACCTAAATGCTAGACTTCAAACCGCCATATGTTCAATACACTGTAGAGTACAATGTTCTTCATTTTTTGCAAATCTTCATACATAATAACTCCTTACATTGTACTCGACAACAATATGGACAAATTGTAAGATTCCATACAGTCACATTTACCACAGTAAAATGTGTAATATTTGATACAAGATCTGCATGCATGTGCATACTTTACTACATGTATATACAGCTGTATACAATGTACCAGGAAATCTTCGCCCAGACAAACTTTCCCACTTCACCCGTGGCATGAGATCAATTTTACCCCGTGTTAATTTCGCCCTTCACATTTACTTACCCTGTGTTAATTTCGCCCTTCACATTTAATTACCCCGTGTTAATTTCGCCCTTCACATTTAATTACCCCGTGTTAATTTCGCCCTTCACATTTAATTACCCCGTGTTAATTTCGCCCTTCACATTTAATTACTGTAGGTTTATTGTGCAGTTAACTTATATTTGCTGTTATGATTAATTCACCCTCATTACGAAAGGCGAGATAAGACAAAAATTGAACTGCAACGAAAATTGTCCGGTATATATACAAGACTGCCTTTCAATGAACAACTCTCTGTATGTTACAACCCAGTAATGCACTTGCATTACATTTTTATTTCATTACAGAAAATAACGCCTCAAATATACTTTGTTAGTTGTTTAACCAATGTAAAGGGAGATCATTGCTGAATATTTTCTGCACCATATATCATTTATGAATTTTGGAGAGAAAAAAATGACAGACAAAACTGCATATGTCTTGAAAACATTTCCTAACAATGTATATTCACTGTAAATCTCTCTTTAGAAATACCAACGGTGGTTTCTATCATTACTATCGGTATGGTCAATTAAACACTACATAATGTACTTCGTGCATGGCTGTTATATTACATGAAAGAATCTTGCACTTTAAACATGTGATGATCAGTTTGACTATGGCAACTCCTACTGTGTCATGTTGTTCTTTTGCCTGAAAATAGCCTAAATGTTTTGTCAATAACTCATGCCCAGGATAGTAATCTAAAAAGGTGAGGGATATCATCTTTAAATATACCCAAGGATCATTAAAAACTCCCCCCCCCCCCCGGAGGGGTTTGGAATATTTGTTATCTTTCAAAAAATAAAACTGTGTTCAAATTCCTGTTATGTACTCTGTAAATTATTCAGATGTATGAACATCATTTTAATTTTGTCTTTATTCACAAAGAAAGGCATTCAGAAACAATTCAGCAGTGAAAAAATATTTGCTGGTAGCAAAGAAAAGGAATTGCAAAAGTAAGTCTTTGAAAGAATCAAGGGATTTATGATAAGCTCAATTTCTGGGCTAAATCTTTATAGGGCTGGTACATGTATTTCACTCTTTCTATTACGATTTTCAGAGATCAGTACACTAAATGTATCAAATATTTTGTGATTTATAAAAAAAATCTTATCAAGTCACAAATTCAGATCGTAGGTAAAACACTTATATATGAATGGCTAAAACATAATCAGACATGAATCTCAGTTCTGAATTGGCGTCTGCATATGATCTACAGGTACTATTTACTTTCATATCCAAATAATCGCTTAACCCATACATAAATCCAGAACATAATGTTTCCCTCTAATGTTTCCCTCTACTCACACTTAATACTAGACATAATGTTTCCCTCTACTCACACTTAATACTAGACATTGTGTTTCCCTCAGTTACACATATATACCGGACATCTTGTTTCCCACAGCTCACATACATATATACGGGAAATCATGATGCCCTCAACTCACACCTAATACTAGACATCATGTTTCCCTCAGCTCACATACATATAAATGGGAAATCATGTTTCCCTCAACTCACACCTAACTCTAGACATCATGTTTCCCTCAGTTCACACATAAATATGGGACATCATGGTTGCTTTTTTCAGATATATGCACATTTATTAAGCTTGATGAACACAAGCTTCAGGTATTAGCTCTATATAACACTTCCTCACAGATTAACTGGTAATAAGTCTGTACAACAATTACTTACAGGTTAATTATTCACCCCTGAAATTTCATAATGAACTTCTCCATCCTTTGATTTGGAGGAGTTCAAATGGGTCTTCAGGGGTGAGTGTTTTAACAGGTAAACAGGACACTATAGGTACATTTGTAACTCATGCTCCGAGAAATAAACATCATACATTCATACCAGATCACAGTATTGCTACAGAATTGACATTTTACAAGGCATGAGGAAGACAAAGAACACTTGAAGGCTTCACATTTCTCAGGAAGAATAAGTTAAATTTTCCACAGTATGGTCCTATAGTTCTTATCAGTCACTGTCACTACTGCTCGTGTCACTTAACTGGAGATCATTTCCTGAAACAAGAACATAACACAACGTGTGAAATCTCCTATTTAAGGTACTGATCATGTATACAATACATAACAAGAGGCCCAATGGGTCTGCATCGCTTATCTCATACAAATCTCACACTTGTAACCTTAAAATAAAGCTACAGGCAAAATATCAATATCTATGACTCTAAGTGACATTCAAAAGAAACTATACAACATTAAAACACATTTGAACCCTATGTGACCTTACAAGTCAAACAAGGTCATTAAACTTTATAGCACTTCATCAAAGCATGCAACTTGCCAAATATCATCACGCAAGACCTTTTGTTTTTTGAGATGAGGTAATTCAAAGGTCTATACACATTTGACAATATGTAACCTTGAAAGTGGGTCAAGGTCATTCACATCAACAGACTTGATCTTCATCAGAGCATGGCTTAAAAACAATATTAACACCTTACTCGTATTGATTATAGAGAAGCAGTTGTATAATTTTTTAACATTTTTGACCCCTGTGACCTTGAATATGAGCCAAAATTTGACATTTGAACAAACTCTGCATGTTACTGGCTAAATATCATAACCCACGGCCTTTAGGATATTCAAAAGATCTTGTTTAAAGTTTTAAACATACTTGACTTGACCCCTGTGACCTTGAATATGGGTGAATGTCATTCACCTTAACAAACTTGATACTTTTCATCTGCCCTTCAGACCATATGAGCTAACAAGAGTACAGCGGGGGGGAACAATATACGCCCGTCGAATGCCATATAGTGTTATATACTTTCTTACATTGAAATAAGATCTGCACCATTCTAAGAGTGGTTAGTTGACATGCTATGAAAAATGTAGAAGAAAATTTCCGGACAAAAAATCAAATACTGGAATGAACAAAGGGCAATAACTTTTAAAAATTGCTGAATCAAAATTCTTTTAAGGGAGACACAACTTCATATCATGATTATAATGTATACCAAGTTTCAAAGAGATCGGTCAAAAAATGTAGGAGGAGATTGCCAGACAAACAAAAATTTACGCCGGACGGACGGACAACGTTAACCCCATACCATAATACTTCCGTCAAATTTGACTGACGTATAAAAATTGGCCGAGAAGTGAGACAGCAGTGCTCTGGACAAACTACCATCCACAGAAGGATAAATGGATAAATGGATAGATAGATTGACAAGCAATCTGATTTCAGTACTCCCCTATAACTTTGTTACAGGGTATAATAACACTGCTGTAATTTCTTGCTAACATTTTTATTTTATTATCTAATGCATATCTTTACTGTTATATCATGTTTATCACCTTAGTGTGATAAATCCAACTTCTTAAATTACAATCCATATTTAATTGCCTTTAAAAAACAGAATTGATTTGTATGACAAATAAGGCATAAAATTAAAACATCTTATAATTACTTAGTAATGATCCATAGGACTTCAAACCTCCAGAGGAAGACATCGGATTCGGAGGCTGAGCACTACCTGGGGCTGCTGAAGGATAGAAACACATACGTTATACTATTATGTAAAAACTATAAAACAGGTAAAACGAAATATAATTTTTTTTCTTATTTCTATCATCCTGTACATAAAGCTACTACAAATCACACAAACAATGCAGGTAGCTTTGATGTTACATCAAGTTTATGAAATCTAAATCAACAATTCTGAAAAGTTTAAATAAACTTTCAGATTTATATTAAAATGAAACTATCTTGAAATGGTTCTTCATCCCTTCAGATTTTACTTAATGGCCAACAACTACAGAGAAACAAATAGTCAAAGTAAACATTTCTTCAAAGTCTATTGTTAGATGTTTAGTTTGATATTGGAATTGCCTTCCTGATACAGTGAAGTTGAGAGACTGATAATCAAACATACATGAACATTTTGCACAAAACAACATAATATTAAATACCTACAATACATAAAAAGAAAAAAATATTTCGTTCTGGTGGTGGAGATAAGCCGGAGTTCCCAGAGAAAAAAACACTGACGGCCAGTACATGGCAATGTACAATTTTCAAAGAACAAAAGTGGTGCTCTGCCTTACTGACAAACAACACACTATAAATAGTGATGTCTGCTACAGTGACATAGATAAATGTTGTCATAGTATACCATCAATGTCCAGGAACAAGAGTTACCTTTCGTGTCTGTGTCTTTGTTTGACTCATCACTGGAGCTGTCTGAATCACTATTATCCCAACTGTCGCTGCTATCACTTATCTCTCCGATCAGCATGTCTAAAGTCGTAAGGAGTAAAACAATCAATGATCTACAATATATAGGTTATATCTATCACTGGTCTATTTGATCAGCATGTCTAAAATAGTACAGAGTAAACCTAGAGAGACTGTGAGCGAGCTCACAAAGACATCCTTCCCCCACGCTTGCACTTACACTTGTTACAAAAGTTACAAAACATAATTAAATAAAGAATTAGGAGTTGCGATTACAAGGTTTTCTGGAGCAGAAATTAAAGTTTCAAGGGCCATCACTCAAGGAGTGGGGGGGGGGGAGGGAGTTGAATTGCAAAGTCCTTTTTTCATGCATATCTACATATAATGGTGTACTTTGACTGTGTCAAATTATAATAAATCTATCCAACAGTTAAGGAGTTGCGCTTACAAGGATCATGGGCAGACGGTCACAAAGCGTAATTCCTATACCCCCCCCCCCCCCCCCAAAAAAAAACTTCATGAGGGGTATAACTATCGAGGATCCAAAATATGGAGGTTAAATCTATCACTGATATGATAATGTCTACAATTAATCAACATTTAACCTATCTCTAAAGTGTCTTAAACAGCATTGGTTTCGTACAATGATCCCCTTCCTTGTGCATGTAACAGATATCTCAACCCAAAGACATGATGTTTTTATACGATTACATTATATCAGTTTCATATTTTACGATATGGGAGAGGAGCAAAAATTAAAATCAAAAAACAGTTTAACTAAGTAATGATAATTCCCTGACCTTTGACCTCCTCTGTTTGCGTGGGTGTTATGGATGGTGATTCTGTATTTGTGGGCGGGCTGATTTGAACGGGTGCTGCCACCTTCGGCTTCATGGGTGACATTTTCTGTTTGTTGTTGTGGACATCCACAGGAGTCAATGGTCGGCCGGCTAGAGATGCCTTGCTGCTTCCTTCAATCCTGGGTACCAGACAAACAATGATACAACAATAAAATGTCTTTAATGTGATTTAAAAACAGACTTTTATAATTTATGATTATAGGATAAGGCATATTTAGCTTTGGATTCTGCATCAAATGTTTCAGAAGTATTGGACACATTCAGAAAGAAAATGATGGAAAGATTCTATTAATTCAAATGAAATCATTGAAAGGCAATATTAAAATCTAGAGTCTTATTAAAGGGAGATAATTCTTAATACTGGTTTATCTTTAAGGCTATATGCTGTAGTTATCTCCCTTTCATATGTTTAATCCATAAAACTACTGAAGAATTCAGAAGTCCCTAAATTTCATAAGTTACATGCATTCCTGTCTACCTTTTAAATATAATTCATAATCAAGTAAGAAATAAAAATATACATAAGACATTTCACCATTGTTATAATTGTGGAAATCTTTGGGAAGGAGCTGCATGTATCTTACAATTATATTTATAGACATAATATAGCCTCAAGCAAGACTTATTTTAGCTGTTGACATGTTTTTATTGCTCACTGATAATTGAAGTAATTTTGGGCTCAGGAACACTCTTATAGATGGTCACAAGCATAAGTAAGGCAAATTACCTAAAGTTATTTATACCAAAAGAAATTGTACTATATCATCTGTTTATCTCCATGAGTGACTTACATGTATGAAAGCAGGGCTGTTTTCGTTTAACCGGTCGGACCACAGTTGTTCGTTTATTAAATAAGGTCGGACCTATACTAGTAATCTGATGCTGCTTTCAGGCAAGCCTTGACAAAGCCTTGCAAGGCCTACATAAACGTTTGCAGGTCTGCCATGATTAATACCGAAATTGTTAAGTTAATAAACGGACAAACCGGTTGTTCCGCATAAACGAACAGGTCGGTCAAAGTGATGTCAATTGGAGACAATTTGGATTCTGTGACATTATAGACAATAGGCCCAGAGGGCCTGTATCGCTCACCTGTTTCTTTTGTTACATGAAACTGACATATAGGTAACTTCAGACCAAATTTGGTAACTAGAACACAAGACATTTTAACATCTCTTAAAACGATTCTTAAGATATTGTTGTTTGAAATTTCAAATTTCAATTTTAAAGCTTTTAACCCATGTTGACATTTGACTCCAGCTAGCACTTAAAGTTGACATTTGACCTCATTACTGTTATAAAGAAAAAGATTCACACTGCTGGTCTACATTGCTCACTCAAGTATCACGACTCTAGTCCAAATGGTTCTTAGGATATTATTGTTTCAAATCTTTAACATATTTGACCACTGTGACCTGGAAAGTAGGTCAAAGTCATTTTAATGAGGACACTTTATAGCACTCCATCCCAGGTACCTACTGGCCAAATATCATGACCCTGGGCCTTACAAAACTTGAGAAGATTGTTAAAGCTTTTAACCTATGTTGACATTTGACCCCCAACTAGCACTTAAAGTTGACCTTTGACCTCATTTCTCTAATTCAGAAAAAGATTTGCACTGCTGGCATACATAACATACCCAAGTATCACGACTCTAGTCCACATGGTTTTTAGGATATTGTCGTTTGAGGTTTTTAACATATTGATTGGTGATCACATTCCCTTACAGCATGAGCACACAATTTATTTGGTTTAGGAGAACATTGTAAAGGTGCTTACCTTGTTTTCTTCAGTTGTATATTGTTAGTAAGCCTCTCCAGGGTAAATGAACCGTTGGTGTGGTCTATGATGAGGACACATTCCTTGGGGCATTCTCTCTTGTTACCGTTGTACACGGTTTGTGGAGTACCACACCCCTGCAAAGTTATCATAGAGGTTTTTGGATTACACTACTTTTTCCTACACCCTCATTGGTCAGATCATAATCACAAAGAGGTACATGATTTGTGATATTGACTCTGTGCTACTACAGCAATAAGTTTATAACCTCTTTATATTGTCGTTTCGTTTGTAATTATATTATATTAGTTGCTCTATACCAAATACAGTTCTAGTTACGGTTCCATCAATCTGATTTAATGATAAAAACATCATAATTTATCACAAATTAGAACCAAGCAATTATGGATTTTGGTTAATACATGTATGTGTTTATAACTTTGTAACAGTCAATATCCCTTTCTCAGGTCCATATAACTAAATCTTGACCTCAAAAAGGTCCTTCAATTGAGGATGTTCTCACTTTTTGCCATTGTTCAACTTACATTTGTAAAATGACATATTATATTTTCTACCTTTCTTTTATAGTTACGGTAAACTTCCGGTCAGTTCGAATCGGCAGATAGTTCAAACACGTATTATTTTCAATAAAAAAAAAAAAAAAAATGGCAAACTCCATTGAAAGCTCGCGGCGATCGGCCCTGGAAAAGTGTCAATACTTTAATCAACAGACACGTTTAGGGTAATGGGTTGTAGTACGAACTAATGTCATGCTGTATGGCAAACTAAGAAATCGCCTGTGTATTGTCATATACAGTGTTAACTAAGCATTTTGATTAATTATTGCCAATCGAGGTATTACCTGTAAACGTGTGCCTGCATACCCGGTCCCCTCACACCAGGTACATTATTGTAGCTAGGGCAGGCCACGCGAGATGTCGCGGTAGGAATCGGCCGCCCGGTTATTGTGAGTGAATTGATTAGCATTCATGTCCAGTCCAAACAATCCACATGTGTCCTAATTAGCGATGGGTAATTTTGAAGGTGTCAAATAAGTTTGGTAGGTATTAGGACTATATCACTTATAATTTAAAAGCAGACATGTTGATGTTCTGACCTAATTTTATTAACATATATACCTATATTTACAGCAGCGCTTTCGTAAATGCAACAGGTTATGTAGACTATGTTTTCAATTTATTAAATTGACCATACATTACGAAATAATATATATACAATAGTTTCTGATTCAAATAAAACATATAATTATGCAGAAACTCAATATTTAGGTCTCTGATACAAGGTAGTCTAACTTTTGTGTCACAAATGAAATGTGTACTGTTTTGGGGCCTACACAATGGCCTCTGCTTCGCCATAAAGATCATAATTATCACAAAATGAAGATAGTTTAATGATCAATTAACATTGAATTAAATAATATACTATCATTTTACCCTTAATAAATTTGCCATTGTTCTATGCCAGGCTGTCGTTGTTACGTATCGACCTTACATTGGATGTTTGTGTCTTGATTGACACTTTGCCTAAATTTTTGCCGATAGTTCGAACTTGCGCTTATTTTCTGAAGCACAATTTCGTATAATTCGAACAGGTTCATCAATATTTATTTAATTTTGTTCGAACTGACCGAAGGTTTACCGTATTCTTTTAAATGGAAATTTCGGGAATGGTACATAGGGTCTGGATATATAGATAAGAATATGTGTGCGGCAGATAAAGGAAGCCATCTGGATATGCCACAGTGGGCCAGTTCTAAATTGAGACGAGGGGGCTCAAAGACTCTCGCACATCTACGACCAAGTGTTAACAAAGCGTAGCTTAATTGAGTCATTTTGGTGCATATATAACAACTATTGTACATACGTATCCGGCGTAGCCGAAATCAACATCGATTTTATGGACAACCCATACACATTTTACACCTTTGTGTGCATACGCTTCACTGGTCATTTGTCTGATGAAGGTGACAGTGTACATATCGTACTAGTCATCGAAACGTCACATAGAAAATTTCATTGGTTGTGTTAAAAAGAACTTCTCAAAATCCATATACTTACCAACAAAGAAAATGTTTAGAAAAAAAGAATATGTGTAGTCATAGACAAGCCATCCTCGATACTCCAGAGGTTACGCTCATCCCTGGACTATCGAGGATGCAGACAATCAATAAATACTGTACCTCCACATGTGGTACTGTGATGGAGACCTGGTGCCCCTCCCCAACTTCTACCAGTGACTCTCGTGATGTATCTACTGAAGCAGGTTTAAAATCATCTGAAATACAAATATTCATGCATGTACACTGTATATATTGAAAATTATATTGATTATACAAAAAATTATCATTTTCTGATGTCAAACATTATCAAAATGACATACAGTAATACTGATTTTGTTCTCCATTGATTACAATGCATAGTGCTTGGGAGTATCTACTCTAGTGCAAATATGACAGGCGAAAATGAAAATTTGTATGTTCTTTTTATTTCTCTACTGTTCTATACAACACAGCACAACAAGTGGGAAAACTACTGCCACCACCAAGGTGAACGTAAAAGAGCCTTCCACAAGCTTAATGCTGAGTGGGATTTCATTAACTGCACAATCCAGGATGGACTGGCATCCAACACCAAACTAGCTGTTCTGGCAATATACCAAATCGCGACAGCAAGACAGCATCGGTGTATTGCCCTTGAAGGAAGCGACATGTACAGTCTTCAGAAAGCCGACATCCTGCTGCAACAGTTCCATGTTTACCAAACTAACACCAGGCCCACAGCTCCCATATGTCAACATACATGTACACCACCCATTGCAGGATATAGAGGTAAACCTTATAGGAGTAGCCAAGCTGCTGAGAGACTTGAACGCCTCCAAATCCTATGGCCAGGATACAGATGCCATCCCAAACACAGTTCTAAAGAATAAAGAAATATGTGGACAACATCACCTCAGGCCACAGCATCATCTTCCAGTACTCACTCAGCACTGGCACACTATGAAAGGACTGGCTATATCTGCAAACATCTCTAGTGTGTTAAAGAAAGATGATAACTATATATAGACAACTAGCAAAGAATTACAGACCCATCTCCCTCACCTTTGTATTCTGCAAACTATTGCAGCACATCATCTGTCAGCACCTTATGAGTCACATTGAGAGGAACAAGATCCACACAAGTCTTAACCTTAGATTCTGGAGTGGATACTCATGTGAATCCCAACTTGTCGTGACCAAGGACGACCTACTCAAGTCACAGGATGCCAACCAGCAGGTGGACTGTGTCGTGTTGGACTTCTACAAAGCAATCAACACTGTGCCCACTCCAAGCTGCTCATGGAGCTATGTGCCTATAGCTACAGCAGGGCACATACACGAATGGCTTACCAAATTCCTGACTGTGAGATCAATGCGGGTGATACTAAAGGAGGAAATGACAGAGGAAGTACCAGTGGAATCCGATTTGCCACAAGGAACTGTCTATGGAACCTGCATACTCTTCCTTTGCCATATCAATGAACTATCAAATTATGTCAAGTCCACAGTCAGCTGTCCGCAGATGATTGCCTCCTGTAACATGTGATCCACAGCTTTAGAGACCATATCACCATACAACAGCTGGATCCCTAGGAGCTTCAAGCTCGAGGCTTGGGCCAGGAACTGGGGATGAAGTTTAATGCCCGCAAATGCTACCTGCTGAGCATTCGCAACTGGAGTCATTTCTACAGTCACAACAACACCATTCTTCATGACTCTACCCTCTATCTAGGTAGCACCATCTCCAACAACCTTAAATGGGATACACAGCATCGGGCAGCAAGGTTCATCACTATAGGGTCCTGGGATTACAAATCCCACAATGACAGCTGCATTTTTACCTCCACACCGCAAAAACTACATGTGAACTTCCCCATCTTCAAAACTGATGCCAGAACTTCCACTTATTTGTACAAAATTATTTAATTTCCAGGCCATTAATTGTAGAGCGGTCCGCGTCTCAACATATAAAAGGATTCAAGATACCAACAGGGACCAGTATAAAAACTCCTTCTTCGTCAGGAGAGTTGCTGACTGGATCGAACCACCTCCCAAATTCAACTGTAAACTGTGGAAGTGTTAAAGCATCAGTTGTCTTGAACTTCAGCGCGACTAACAGTTTAGAGCACTCTCTACCGCTGCAGCTATACCAGTTTTGGGATCTAGCAGCGTACCCATACAGATACAAGTACACCACACTATAAGCCATGGAGAGTAAACACTTTGTCATTTTTACAAAATGTAAGACATCAGAATTGATGTACATGTACATGTATATTTGTGCACAATTGTACCTCATTTTGTCATTTATCAGATTATGTTGAATAAGTATGTTGCCCTTTATAATTTTGTTTATGTGTAATAATGATGTTTAATGAAACATTGTTTTTAATTGGTTTTATAATTTCCAATTTTAGTGTACTTCAGTTGTTTGAATAAGGATCGGAGTGACAGTTACCCAAATGAAATAGTATTTATACGTTAATCTAAGCATTTAAACGCCAAACAATATGCTCTAAACACCGACGGATATTCTCAAAAACAGTATAAACTAATGAACACCCCTGTTGAGACGTAGCAGCAGCTACTGTACGTAGTGAGGACAATTTTCTTCAGTAACCATTAACGTAACTTTCAACAATTCAATCGGTCAATGTATTGTATATCATACAATTTTACTTACATCTTATAGAATGAAATGCTACTTTAGACCTGGGATTAAAACTTTCTCCCAATTTCAGTGGATGAACTTTGTTATCCACTCGTAAAGTCTTGTCGCTAGCCATGGCATCTAAACGTGTAATTCTCTCACAGCCATATGGTAAGTTTTCTACCGGAAGTAAAATTTGTAAACAGTGTTAAATACTCGCGCCTAATACACAGGAAAACTTATTATACAGTACTGTACTTTATAAATGGTTTTATTAGCAGATTCCCATACAAAGTTGTTTACTGGCCTTATGTGCACCTAACATTACCAAATTTGCGAGACAAATGTGTTTTTAATTCATGGATATAATACCTTTGGACTTTTGTCATACGTTCTTGTATACTACTTCCGGTTGTAGAGTTGCATCTTCTCCCTCTACAGTTACACGTGTGTGATGTATACAAAAAATGTATCTGACAGGTGACAGTAATGTGTAAGCTATATCAAGATTGTGCTCGAGTATGTATCCATGAATTCATTGTCTTGATATTATGTAACTTATTCTTTTTAAAGAATTTCATTGATTCCAAAATCATTTTGTTTGTGAGGAACACAGGATACACTGGCGTCACCAGTTTTGACGTGTATTCTACAGAGTTTGTGGTAACAATGTATTTTTGATTACCTTTAATACTCTGAAACGAAATAATTTCTACTCTTTGCTTAATAAACAAAGTTTATTTCAAAGTTGTATAGTAGGACACATTTAATTTGTTTTTGGTCACAAAACAAATCTTATTTGTTATTTCTTCTAATTAATACTATATTTTAATTGCACTATTTTTTTAACAATCCTTTTTTCTCCTAAGGTTTGGAGACACATGAATCAAGTGGACATCCTTTAAAAATGGATAACTGTTATGCGGATGGCGGAGGAGACAACACTTCAATTGTTGGTCATTCTGCAAGAGTTCTGACTGCAGAGGAGAAACACAAACTTGAAAAGGACGATAAACTTGTCTCCGACTTTAAAAGGAATAAATATGAAATAGAAGCTAAGAAAAACTGGGACTTGTTTTACAAAAGAAACACAACAAAGTTCTTTAAGGATAGGCACTGGACGACACGGGAGTTTGATATGCTGTGTGGTAACATTGGAGATTCAAGTGTAAGTGTTAGTGTATAGTTAACCATTGGCTATACTTGAGCAGCAGCCCCGAAGTTTTTATGAAGAATTTTCCAAGCTGCATTTTACTACTAGCTTATCTCCCTCTCAAGTTTGAGAACTTAGGAATCAGACATCAAAGAGATTAAAATCATTAGAGTTTATTTTTTGTAAAAAATCAATATTTTAGAGGTCAACATTTAGAAATGTGGGTAATGATAAAAAAAAATATATAAAACTTTTATCTGTAGGTTTTATTGCTTGAGGGTAAAATGCATTAAAGTGAATTACATTGTACTACTCCACAAACATTTGCCAGGGCCCGGGATCATGAAACGGACTTAAGTCTAATTCTGGACTTAAGTCCAAAGTTTTTTGTCTTAAGTCTAAAAACAGACTAAGCTTGAGGATCATGAAAAAAAAAATAAGTCTTAAGTCTAAATTTCTGTCTTAAATCCTAAGACTGCTACAGGGCAGACTTAAGTCTGAATTTGATCTTAAATATGGCGGACATATCGTACGCTTCAGGTGCCCGTCGACTGCTCCATTGAGAGTAAGGAAGAGACATTTCGTCCCGAGTATTTCTAGACCATTTACTTTTAAAACCCTCCAATTAATTCAGGACTAATGGAGAGTTTTACAAACGTGCTATTGATTCAAATGACCATCTTGAGGCAGTCCACATCGTAATCCAACAAGATCATTGAAGTTTCCCACCATTCAAGTTTCCGACCATCTACACTCGCTGGCTCAGCTTGTCCGAGAATCATTCACAGGAAGACATGATGAAATGTTAATCTTGAGTCTCATTTTATTGTAGACTTGTACATCCCTATAAAAAAACATACTTATATTTAGACCTAATAGACCTCTGCAAACAGACGTTCGCTTGAACTTCCACCGTTCCGATGTTGTAAACAATGCGACTGCAGCGCCGCTTCCTCGACGGTACCGTAATAAAACGAACAAACGCTTTCATTTGCGAGATCACAATTATCACCGTACTGCCGGTGAAACGAAAATGTAGTGTTCCCCCTAGCCTAAATAATTCTTTATTTTAATAATCATACATTGCTTAGAGAATTATTACTTTCTAGCTGGTTTCTTTTTATATAGTTGTACAATTGTAACTAGTTGTATTATTACACAAGAAAAAAAGTGATAGACTTTAAATATTTAACCAGAATTTGCAATATATATATTTGAATATAGTCAGTCAGCATGTCCTGGCAGGATTAAGATTAATGAAAGAATTGTAAGACATTCAGCTTTTCAATATTTGAAGAAACTGATCAACCTTGTCTGGCCTTCAGCTTTTATTAAAATTTTCTTGTCTATGGACTTTAAACAAATCTGATGTGTTGCAATTGATTACTAATAGAGAATATTCCCCTACCTGGAGGGTGAGACACAGAAATCTCCAACCAAATAGGTGATTTTTTTAGTTGTCAAATCGTTAGTAAGACAACCAAATAATTGCACCGAGGCTCAGACAATCAAATATACATGTATAAACTGGGGGGAAAAAAAGAGAAAAAAATTTATCATAAGGACTGATTTCTAAGAACAACCATGATCTCATAGATATGCATATCTTTCCAGATATATCATAGCACACTATTCCATGGATATCTCAGAAAATGTTCTTCTAAAGCAATTACTTTATTTTTAAAATTATAATTTATAAGTAATACCAGCCTCGGCAATATTGCTCAAAAGGCTTACATGTCATAATTCTTGGCGATCATCGGGAGATTTTATAAGTTATTATTATTTACCCCTATACTTATAAAGGGAAGGTTTGCTAGCAAAATAATCAGATCAACGTTTGATAAAAAAAAATCAAATGATCTGTTACAGTTCTAATTAAAAACACACACACATCTTATTATTGTTATTGTAATAAGAAGAATACCAAAATAAGCAGTCAAGTTTCAATCCAAGAATGATTTGACCAAGACTTTTGAAAGAGATTTTGGAAAGATATCAGGTGTTATAGTAAAAGGTACTGAAGGAATGGCACTCAACAAGAGAATGAAACTTGCTAATGCCGGCTTAATAGTGTGAATCAATCAAGTTTCATAAAAACATTTGGTACAAAGAATTTCGACAACTCCTCAACATATTTTGCTTCTTTATCTCAATAGAGATACTTTCAAAAAGAAAAACTCTTATCAGATCATTCACTTTTTGATAAAAAATAAATATCAATAACTAATTGCAGTTAGATAAACATGATAAACAATGTGGAACCTCTTAAATTGAATAGAAAATTAACATAATTTTGTAGGATAATTCAACATTTTATTGGTCAAAACAAGCACAACATACATGTAAGTTACAAGAGTTTGGCTAAATATGGCACTAAAGTAATACATGTACATAACAACTGAACATCATCATGGAATTACTCAAAATAAGAAATCACCATATATTTCAAACAGATTTTCAGTACATTTTTAGTAATAATGATATTAGTATACAGGTGATAACAACAGTATTTATTATTTTTTTCATTTTATTCCCGTTCGATTTAAATCGAAGTAATGACAACTGAAAAATGTACTGCCCCCCCCCCCAGGTTAATGGGGATGGGGCTATAATTTCTTTTATTCATTATTTGTTTGACAATTGCCCAAACTATTTTTGTTGGACCTCACTTTTGACAACTTTTGGTCGCTCAAGCAAGACTTCAACCGCCATTGGCGAGCAGGTGACCGTCCATTTCAGGCACTGCTGCACAACAAGGGACCAAGGGAAACCTACATATCAATACTTCCTCAATACTTAGATAGTATGTCGCACTTAGTATTATTTACAAATATTTTTTGCCATGAACAACATCTGCTGTACAGAGTAATCATAGTGATAAAAACAAAGTAACCCAAATTAAAACTAGATACCAGCTGTAACGGAGAGAAACCCAATGTCGGAGAGAAACCCGATGTCGTAACTTTACCTGCTCCAGAATGTGCATTTATCAAGCTATGTCATCCTGGACAAACAGTCTGCTATCACATTGCGTTGTCTCATGTAAAAGCCCAATAACCCCTGGTTACCCATTTCCACTCCCCCCAGGACACACACGGGGGAGGGAGGAGAGGGGAGGGCTTTCATTCCTCCTACGAGTACAAAAGGGGAGAAGTGGTGAGCTGTAAGTGGTCCCTAAAGACAGAGATATTAACCCCTCCCTTTCATTCCATTCCTTCATGAATGGGAATCTCAATAATAGTTTTACATTATTAAGATACTTGAACACTCTCCTGGTACCACCTGGTCTGCTCCTACTTTCTCCCTCTCACTTACCCTTCTCCTTCCCTCATTTTATATCCATCCTTCACTCATCATTCTCTTTCCCTCATTTATCCAATCCTTCCATCAGTTACTTTCCTTCTCCATTAATTACCTTTTTCTTCTTCCTCGCTATATTATCCTCCCCCTCCCTCAGTTCAACCCTCCTTCCCTTCCTAACAAACAAAACCTATTTCCAGGAACTGTGGTATGATTTACATGACATTGTACACATGTCACAGACCTAAATCAGATCAAATGTTGACACACAATGAAAACCTGAGATTCCACCTGATTCTGTTATATGATGATGAGAGGTGTATCAATAAGCAAATATTAACTTCTGTTTACAGAAATACATTTTATCACAGTCTTTATAATCATGAAGAAATTTACATGTATGATGTACATGTAATGACATGTTTTGGTAAACATTTATGATCCAAGTCTGACAGGGAATTGTAATATTCTGATGTGCAGCATCACCATGATCCCGTTCCCCTCTTCCACTTACACTAAGTGTAGAAATATATATATATTTATTCAATAGTACTCTATTTCTTTGATCTTCATCTTCAAACAATTGAGAATTATATGAAAGCTTGAGACAAAATTAATTCTTGTATGACAAAGGTCAAATACGTCGAAGTACTGGAAGTGTGAATTGTGCATTGATTTTGATAAAGCTTTTAAACCTAAGAAATTTAAACCTCTTGGGGGTGTCAGGTCGTTTCGGGACTTTTTTCGCCATGTAGACTATTGAACAGGGAGACAGTACAGTTCTCAAAGTGTAACACGTGTACAAACTTTCTCGAGACTTTATACAAACTAAATCAACAACATACTAATTTGATAAACGTGTGAAAAAGGTATTGTATAAATGGGAAATTTACAATGCGAATTTTGTGAACACTTCGGGGAGCTTACGAGTAGTCAGGCGGTTAGCCACACTTTTGTCTTAGACTTAAGTCCGTTTCATGATCCCGGGCCCTGGAGGCTATAAACAGTCGCACAAACACAAGTATAATTTATATCTTCTAGTTCATCAAATGAACAGCGCTGCATAGATAATGTAGGAGGAGCAGACAAATACATGGCTAGACCAGGGTTTGAACATGGGTCCCTCCAAACTCTAGACGGACAATCTACCGATTGAGCTACCTGGTCACCGACAATCGGCCAGTTCCAGTTCTGCTACATTCCTCCCTCATTTTCTAAATCTTCGCCCCCGAAGACATCACTTTTAACAGCCAAGGTTCAGGTATCCCCATGTTTAGCATTCACCTATTACTTGAAACAAGGGTTGGTCATAAAGGCACCGATTGTAGTAGGAGCAGAAAAAATGCATGGCCAGACCGGGGTTCAAACCTGGGACTCTCCGAATTCTAGAAGGAAGCTCTACTCATTGAGCTACAATGTATCTGGTTGCTGGAGATTGACAGAGTCAAGTTCCGCTACATTCCTTCCTTCTTTTTCTAAGGTTACAACCCAGGCTGCCTGAGGCTTGTGATAATTGTTCCACTTACTGTTAGTTTTAAAACGGCTACATATCATAGACACAGACTGTTTCCTAAACTATTTTGTATTATTCTTGCACTAATATCTTTTAAAGTAAGTTTCTGTTCAGAATGATATAAGAAGTCAGCATTTCTTAAATTCGATACTAGAAAAGTAACTAACGTTTTATATAAATTTTCAGATACACATGTAGTGATCATGAAATTATTTCAAAAAAATGAGGCAAACCTATTTTTAAGTTACAATTTATGTGTATAGATTAGACAGGTATCCAGGTTACACAACAATGTTAGTTTAGAAAGACTTGAGATGTTACAATAACTATGAACGGTACATAAATATATTAATTAATACTCAATACAAAAAAATGATTTCTCTTTAATTTGTAGGACAAACGGATTATATTGGAAGTGGGGTGTGGTGTTGGAAACTTTATCTTCCCTCTTCTCGAGCAGGACAGTTCTCTGTACTTCCATGCCTGTGACTTCTCACCCAGAGCTGTTCAGTTTGTCAAGGTACACATCCACTATGGATAATGTTTGTGTACAGTTGAACTCCCTTAAATTGAACTAAATTGAAGATATGAATGTCTCAATGTGCAAACTTACGACAAAGTCCAGATTTTTTTTCTTGTTTAACGTTAACACTACCGATATTCCATGTATGAATCAAACTTTTAAAAGTCAAAATTCTTGCTGTTTTGAACTACAATCAATGCCCAATTGCTAGGAAAACATTGAAAATTATAACTTAAAATGTAAGTAAAACAATTACCTGTACACGAACTTTGAAATGTTAACTTCTGAACATGCAAATTTTAGTACACAAAACACATCAAACATATTTTTGTAATTACATTAAATTCACTTTTTTATAAATTTAAAATTAGATTGTTTGCCTTGTGTTCTGTCTTTTAACAACCACATTCGGTCTTATGCAGATTTCAAAGATGTTAGAAGTTTAACATTTTCTCTATGGTCCTGCAAAGTTTGAAACATCAAAGTTTGACTAATTTAAAGCTACTTCACATTAAATTCACGGCCAAGTACCCATTATTTTTGTTCTCTGACAAACTCAGCTGTTTTTATTTGAGAGCTGCATTCTTGACTACCTTGAATAATATACATATTTTCCTTTCCTCATGGTCAAATAATTGACAAGGATTTGAATTCACAGATTGTGTTCAGACCACAAACATATAGCAGATATGAAAACCCTTGAAATATAACAACATGCAGCATGTATAGGAATGTTTTGCTTTTTAAGTACATGTATGTATATATATGGTCTACATTGAATACACTTTACAATTTTATTTCATTTATAGTTTTGATAGAGGAATATAAAGTCAGATAACCTGCCACATATACACAATGATCATATTTATATATGTTATACACTTGTACAATTATTTAAAGATCCCCATATATACCACTGCCAAACCAGTAACTATGCATTGTAAACTGTTTTCCCGTCATGACTATAGATTTGATGGATCATTTCTAAAAAGAAAACCATACCCTACAGGACTTTTATAAAAGAAAATGATGAAGATGAAATTAACAAAATATAATCACCATTACATGTAGTGCTCCAAGTGTAAAATTCAGCAGAGCTATACCGAGTTTCCAAACCTGGACTATAGATTAATATACTATCGCTCTAACCGAATGAGCTACATGGATTAAAGAGTCCAGACTCAACTTTGGCTACAGTTATATTTTCGAGAAAAATAAGGAGAAGTGCATTACAGTATATAGAAAAAACATACAGTGCAGTGGGACAGGGATTTTTCAGTAGATCTTATCAATGAAATCTATAATTGTTTGGAACTTTTCACAAAGACATACATACATTAAGTATTCTTTGCAGGTTGAACCCACCACTGGTGAAAACGTAGATTCTATAAAATCAAACTAAGTTCAGATGTACATATATATGTGTGATTGTATACCATTGCTTACAATAATGACTTACAGGAAAATCCGCTCTACGACCCGAAAAGATGTAATGCCTTCCAGTGTGACATCACATCGGACCCACTGACCAATCAAATGCCAGACAATTCGGTCCACCTGGTGTCCATGATATTTGTCCTGTCCGCCATTCATCCAGACAAAATGGCCGCTGCATTATCCAACATTTCCAAGGTACTTATTGACGTTTAATGAACATCGATTTCTTTATTACTGAATCTAAGTATACAAACATTTCTATTCTTTTTATTATCTATTAATTTCCTTTCGCATTATTTTTTAAATGGATGTTCACTTACCGTGATACACATACAAAGTACAGTGCCATCCTTAAAAGAAAGTTTGTTTGCAGATTCCAGTCCACTTCACTACAAAATGCACTGACTCATACTTTTTCTGAAACTTGTAATTTATCAATTTGTTTTGCTTAAAAAACTCTGAAACTTACTTTTTTCATATATATATAGGAATATGACTTTTCTTGAAATAAAAAAAAACAAAACAAAAAACAACAAAATCTGTTACATACCTTCAGTACTCCCTGGAAAAATGTGTTCATAATTCTGCAAACAAACAATTTTTTGAAAGATGGCCAAGTAAAGCCTAAAGTGTTGCCATATTTGTTACTGATAAAATAATCTGACCACCAGCAGTTCAATTGTCCCGCTATCCATCTTGCCAGATTACTTTATGGACAATTAAACTGTCCCATTAATTCAGCTGACATAGACTTGGTCAACAAGAGCGACAGAGTCAATAACTCTCCAATGTTATATCAGTGGTGGTCTCTATAAAAACAAAATCTGAAAAAAGGATACATGTGTTTAGATATGGTCACAAAAACATTTGATCCAATATTTTTCCTGATTTGACTCTGACATGAGACCCTCGATACTTTACTTTATGTATACATGCTGATGATAAAGAGTTAAGTCCCTTGTTTTTTTTTAAGGTGCTGCGACCAGGTGGTTTCCTGCTGTTTCGTGATTACGGGTTGTATGATTACGCCATGCTGAGGTTTCAACCCGGACACAAGCTGTCGGAGAACTTTTACGTAAGACAAGATGGCACCAGGGCATTCTACTTCACCACTGGTAAGTTAGGATATTAAAAAAACTTATTTAGATCTTATACATTAGACGGGATTTGGTCAGCATGTCCTTCTTCTGTACTGGTATGATCTGTCCTTAAATCAATATTTAAAGAACTGCCCTGATATTAGAAGTGTTGGAGAAAATAAATTACGTTTTTTTCTTTATATTTTATATGTTTTACATATATATATGCAAGTACATGTACTTTGTATTACCTTCATGTGAGAAAACAGGGGAAAAGTGAGAAAAAAAACATTTCCGTCTAAATATCTTGATTCCATATACAAAATCCTGTGCTGCTTCAGCTTTGAATTCCTGATATATTAGCTGTCATGATAAATTGTCCAGGTATACATTACCAACACTGCAAGTAGAGTACATGTCTTTCTGTGATTAATCATAAATCTTTCTTATCACAATCTACCCTTCCTGTCAAGAAATGATCATGAGATGATTTGTACCAAAACAAATTATTCAGACATAAGTAAAACATTAAAATTCAATATATATATCTATGGGTTATTATTCATTTCTTGTTCAAGTCCTCACAAATACAATGTACCAAAAAAGTATGTAATCAGAAAATAATCATGCAAACTCATGTTCACAAATTACAGGTGATATAAGGAAATTGATACAATTTAACAATTTTATAAAATATAGAAATACTTCTACTTTTAATCTACATGGGTTAATTGTTGTCATGTTTAAACATGATTATCATGTATTGAGTTCTGCTCCTGATTTCTTGGAATTTGCCTTGTTTTTAGAACTGCTGACAGAGTTGGTGACAGAAGCAGGGTTTATTGTCCGTGAGTGTGACTATGTACAGAGAGAGACCGTCAATAAAAAGGAAGGACTGAGTGTTCCCCGGATATTCGTACAGGGCAAGTTTGTCAAACCAAATCTTAAAGACAGCTCAACCGCTAAGGAGGGTGACTGTTTTGCTGATTGCAAGTCTTTAAATGATGGAAGCACTGGATGTCATACAGACTCCCAAAGGACAAATGAATGCGTGCCAGAAACGAAGATACACACAGACCCAACATGTGATCATGTGTCAGGTTCACAAATATGTACAGACATAATAGGCAATGTGTCAGGCTTACAAATATGTACAGACTCAGCAGAAAATGTGTCAGAATCACATATATGTACAGACTCAGCAGAAAATGTGTCAGAATCACAAATATGTGCAGACTCAACAGAAAATGTGTCGCATCCTCATCGGACAGAGTTACCTGAAAATTTGATTAAGTGATCTAGACAAAAGGTCAAATACTCATTTGACAGACACAAAAAGTAGCTCTACTTATAATGAGTGTTTTGCTGAAACAGACAGCACATCATCACTTTCCCTGGGGCCATTTAGTACATCTGGTAACATGTAGGCTGGTCAGTACTGTGACTTAATATATTAACTATGTGAGTCAGTCCAAACAGTGATCGTTTGATAGAATCATTCCCCACCTTAGGGGTAACACAGAAAAACTCGACCCAAGGGGTAAGGCTCTTATATATCTAGCCTGAGGCTTTTTCACCACCTTGGGGGTAAGACAGAAAATCTACACCCAAGGCTTAAGATTCTTAAAGTCTAGCTCGAGGCTTTTTTCACCACCTTTGAGGTAAGACAGAAAAATCTCTGCCCACAGGGTAAGGCTATTAAATATCTAGCCTGAGGCTTTTTCCCCACCTTGGGGGTTAGACAGAAAATCTACACCCAAGGCTTAAGATTCTTAAAGTCTAGCTCAAGGCTATTTCCCCACCTTGGGGTAAAGTCAGAAAAATCTCTGCCCAAGGGGTAAAGTTCTTAAATGTTTAGCCCAAGGCTCTGCCGCGGGCCAGACATTTAAGAATCGTACCCCTTCCGCAGAGATTTTTCTGTCTTGCTTCCAAAGTGGTGAATGATTATTTTTCTCCCGACTTCAATACAAGAGTCGTTGAATGAAACATGATCGCATTGGTTGTATGGGTTTGCAGCAAACCGAATGAGATACCTGCTGCGATCTGCTCTTGTTGGCGTGATGTCAAAGAATTGTTGAAATAATGTCAGTGCATTGTTGACGTGATCGACGTTGTACAACTGTTACGACAGGGGAATCCCTCATCGTCACCCTAGGATAAGACAGAGATTTCTTTCCCTGACCAGAATTGTGAATATATTTGTCTCATGTGGGAGAAATACAATGACTCCCTACACTAACTCAGTGACTCCATACATTGAGTCTGTGACTCAATCCAGGAGTGACTGTTATACAATACAATGAATTAGCAACTTTGTAGAGCGACTCATTACAGTAATGAAATGTTCTGTAAAACCCTCAAATGAGAGTGTTTTACCCCAATTGTTTGCTGTACACCGATCTTCTATAGAGCTATCCCATAAAACTAAGTGCATGGGGGTATAGAATCTTGAAAACCTATAAAACATACCAAAATCAAAATTCATGGGGAACACTTGAGTTACTCAGTGACTATACATTGACTCAATATCCATACTTTCATTCTTGTTCCATACACTAACTCAGTGATACCATACAAGAGTGACTCATTGACTCAATATTGACTCAGTGACTCTATGAAAAACTTGATATGGACAGCAGATTTAATACATTTAATATGACTCAATACAATGACCCAGGGTTACCCAGAAATAAAACATAAAAAATAAACAAGGCAAAGACTAGACAGAGACATATATACTACATGTCTCTGAACTAGAGAACTAAAAAACATCACTCGTTAGAATTAGCGATTCACTTGTCCAAATTCTGTTAAAGCATATTCATAACATCAACCTCCAGGAGTTAAGTCAGGAATTGTGTTGTTACATGTATAGACTCAACTTTTCAACAAAAAAAAGCATTCATCCAACAAAAAAAGTAAGTATTCATCCAACAAAAAAAGTATTCATCCAACAAAAAAAGCATTCACCCAACAAAACAAGTATTCATCCAACAAAAAAAAAGCATTCATCCAACAAAAAAAGTATTCATCCAACAAAAAAAGTATTCACCAAACAAAAAAAGCATTCACCCAACAAAAAAAGCATTCATCCAACAAAGAAAGCATTCATCCAACAAAAAAAGTATTCATCCAACAAAAAAAGTATTCACCAAACAAAAAAACCATTCACCAAACAAAAAAAGCATTCATCCAACAAAAAAAGCATTCATCCAACAAAAAAAGTATTCACCAAACAAAAAAAGTATTCACCCAACAAAAAAAGTATTCATCCAACAAAAAAAGTATTCATCCAACAAAAAAAGTATTCAGCCAACAAAAAAAGTATTCACCAAACAAAAAAAGTATTCATCCAACAAAAAAAAAAGCATTCATCCAACAAAAACAGTATTCACCAAACAAAAAAAGCATTCATCCAACAAAAAAAGTATTCATCCAACAAAAAAAAAGTATTCATCCAACAAAAAAAGTATTCATCCAACAAAAAAAAGTATTCATCCAACAAAAAAAAGTATTCATCCAACAAAAAAAGTATTCATCCAACAAAAAAAGCATTCATCCAACAAAAAAAGTATTCATGCAGCCAGTTCTCACTCATCCGTTATGATCGAGAGCATAACAGCGCTTTGCTGGATTCCTGATATGAGTGATGGTATGTTCTAGCCCCTACCATTGATTTTATACAATGTCTGTACAGAGTGACTATACGTAAGGATTGAGCGGCATTTGTTTTCAATTTCATGCTGCCAGTATAAACCCAAATTGATTACACACATATTCCATGGTAAACATGTATGTACGCGGTTTGCATTAATACCAGCATGAACGTTGAAAAAACACAATTCAAATCCTTTTTTATTTCCATTCTAATTTTTAGTTATCATTGACCTAAACAAGGATATTCCCTTATGTGTCTGTGTCGCCAGAGTGCAAAAGAAATTCCTAGAACAGCCTAACGTCACCCAGATGTTTACTTCTAATAGCAATCTCATGTTAATTGAGGCGGGAGGAGAAGCTTCAAAATGACACCGATCCTATTGCGTCCATCGATGCTTAACCTGCCTAGTAGAAACGTAAATAATAAAGGAGTGCCATGTTCTCTAAAGTGTACAGACAAAGACGGAAAGAATCATGGCAACATTTGTAATAGCTGTGCAGGATTTGTGATTGTCTTTCATCAATAAACATAAACCGACACCTGATTTGTATTTACTTGTCTTATGTATCTTTCTCATTATTCACTAGTATTTCCATTTCAAGAGTCTGCAAAATTTTCTTCGACTTGAAATCAAAGATTTGACTTTTTTACACCTAGCAAACAGAAATATAGTAAATCCTTGACTGATACTTCATTCTTTCCAATAAGGTTCATGCAATCTTTGATAATACCATAAGAAATCGAGAAACATGTTGATTGGTATTTTGAAAATTATGTGTGTCGAAGGTAGTCTTGGTTATTGAGACTCATATCTAAAAATGTGTACGGTGAGGTGTACGAAAAATTGTGAATTGCCTAATAAAATAATTTGTAAATTTAACGCAACATTCAAATAATATTTAAATTTGAACAGCAATATGTCTTTCGTTTGTAAAAAGGTGACATTCCAAAAAACAATGAAAGACATTCTCACAGAGATGACCACAACTACAAGCTTCACTCGATCTCAACAAGGTTCATTCTAAAGAGGTCGTAATTAAGGGAATGGCACTTGTGTCTGAGCTTTGTTTGCAACATATCAAGTTTACGATATCCAAGTTTAAAGTAGGTAGATGGAATTGATTGTATATTTGACGTTTAACAGGGTTTTAATGAATTTATAGCGGGCAAGGATCGAACCGAGTTTTCTTAGCTATTCCAAAAATGAAGTATTCTGTTTAAAGTTTCTTGAATTTCTAGACAAGATGATGATGATGACTTTAATAATGACTTATCGTCTGAAAAAAGATGAGATGTTGATTCAAAATCATCTGCTATGTCATTGATAAATATGAGAAATAAAAGTGGACCAAGGATAGAGCCTTGTTGAACCCCTGGCTCAACTAGACCGACAGAGGAATATTAACATTCTGGTGTCTCTGAGACATGCTTTTATAGCCATATACAGTTGTAAGTAAACAATACACCTGAAATTCCGTACAATTTGAACTTCATAAGACCTCTATGCCAAACCCTATCAGAAGTGTTGGATACAACACATATGTTTGTTTTCCCTAAGGTGCAAATACATACTTGGTAATAAATATCAATGAGTTGGTACACTGTAGAATTACAATGCATAACAAGACGCCCAGAGGGCCTGTATCACTCACCTGTTTCTTTTGTTACATGCAACTGACATATAGGTAACTTAAGACCAAATTTGGTAACTAGAACACAAGAGATTTTAATATCTCTTAAACGGTTCTGAAGATATTGTTGTTTGAAACCTGAAATTTTAATGTTAAAGCTTTTAACTCATATTGACCTTTGACTCCCGACTTGCACTTAAAGTTGACCTTTGACCGCATTACTGTAATAAAGAAAACAATTCACACAGCTGGTCTACATAACATACCCAAGTATCATGACTCTAGTCCAAACGGTTCTTAGGATATTGTTGTTTGAAGTTTTTAACACAATTGACACCAGTCACCTTGGAAGTAGGTCAAGGTAATTTTAATGAGGAAAATATATAACACTTCATCCCAGGTACATGNTGATCTCATAACTGTAACTGAGAAAAAGTCGTTCAAAAGAAAAAGTTGACGGACGGACGACGGACGCCGCAGTACGGCATAAGCTCACATGGCCCCAACACTACTGATATTTGTAAAACAAAGAATTTTCTATAAAAAATGTATTTTAAAAATCTATTTTGCAGTAATTCATTAAATATACTGTAGATACTTTCGTTTAACAAAGTGAGTTTATAAGACTAATAAGTGAGTAGTGAATTTTGTCAGAGTTATTTCCCTTAGACTACTGAGCGCGCCGATAACATCGATCGTTGTGACGTTTCGGTGCGGCCTCTTTTCATCCTGACTATTTACCTCCGTATTCTTACTAGTTTGGGTCCTAATCAGTTATCCGCTTACCGTTTCATGTCAATGTCGAGGATAATGAATCATCTAGTCATAGAACATAGAAAGGACGTACATATATAGATTGATAACCAAACACCAGATACAAATGTACACATTGTAGCTGGAACCACGGACTTAGATGCTGGAACCGATAGTGCTGAAATTAAAAATGCAGTGGCGGATCCAGAGACCTATCTGGGGGGTTTCCAAATTTCCTGGGGGGGGGGTTCCATGTGGGGAAAAATTGAGGAAAATAGTGAAAACACATGATTTTTAAAGAAAATTCTCAGGGATGGGGGTTTCCTGAAGCCCAAAAAAAACCTCTGGATCCGCCACTGAAATGTGTTAGGTGTATGATAAGTATCATTTAGAAGGTTTATATATCTGAGACGAAAATTTATAACAAATACATACAACCATGTTCAATAAGCTAAACCACGGAATTAGATTATCTAAGTCTGTGGCTAAACTGAATGATAAACTATTTGTAGCCTTTTCAGTAGCTGGTAGAAACATTGAAAAAGTGATGGAGTCGCAACGCTCAATAATGATAAAAATGCGTCTAAATGTGATATTCTTACATTTTAAGATATTTATTAAAATAGATAGCTCAGTCGGTTGGAGAGATAGTGTACATGTCACAATCTGAAGTCCATGGTTCGAATCCCTGTCTAGCCCCTCTGAATTATTGCACCGAAAACATAATTATTGATTGTTTCATCTTTATTATTTCTCATAAATGAAAGTCCGGTAAGGTATGGTTATCTTTTCAGAAATTATTTGTCAAACTATATATAGTAAGCCGGAAAAAAACAGTTTCCAACACTTAGTTACAGTTGTTGCAGTGGTACGAGGAAAATTAATGAAATGCATAGGAGTTATTCCCCTTCCTCCATATGCAAGCCTTAAGTCGACTGTAATATCTTAGTGTTTTTGGCTCTGTATTGTTTTAAGTTCGACAAATGAGGTTATTGTGGGCTAATATCCTTATCAGATGACGAAGCATTAAGATAGTTTACGACTGTGATCAAATGTTATACATTGCATACTTTATTACACACTTTTGTTGTGTAGTATGTCTTGAAAAATAAAATCCCGCGTATTTTTTAAATATACTTTTACACCCCATGTTTTTAGACTGATATCTGCTATTTTAAACAGCTACTTGTGTACATGTGCTTTTAATAAATGATAGTGCTAACCTAGTTGAAAATGAAATGTGACGTATGAGTGAAGTATTGACTTTGTAACTGTTCTATTATGCAATGTGTATGTCCTGTATGTTAGTCGGTTTTAATACAGTAGCTCCTTAGAGCTAATGTTGTATTGTTATACCATGTACCGACTCTAAATAAAACTTTTGACTTTGACTTTGACTTGATACATGCATTAAAATCCATCTGCTTCGATAGTTCTGGCTGAAGTTCAATGATATCTGCAGATTCAGGATGTCAGTTTAGATAGCAAATACAACGATTCCTATTACGGCCATGTAACTATATTTTTCGCTCAAGTCGTTACATTTATAAAATTATTTTATATCTGAAAACGGAGGAATCTGAAGTAGGAACTGTAAATGTCTACTTTTAGTGCTTTGTGCTCTATATAAGTACCGGAAGTGGGTACGGTAATGTAGCAAAAATATAAATACTTCTTTCCTTTGTTTTTAGAGTTATATCCTCAAAAGAAAGTTCGATTTAAGTTTATGAATTTTAAATGGGTTTGATGTTCTGATTAATTAATCTATGAAATATTTATAGATAGGACGTTAAACAATACTAAACCAAACTAAACCAATTTATACTAATTATGGTACCATGAACTTGTAGAGCATGTTTGTGAAAATGAAACAATTACAACCTGGCTGCAAAAACAGTTTAAAATCTGGATTTAAGCGTGTACTGTTTCCAATTAATGGGGTTTTTTATGATGATCTCCTCTTTGATAACAAGATTTCCTGAAACAAATCGCATCTCATTTATTCTCCAGAATTGAAATTTAACACCTGTTCAGATACGAAGAATGAATAGGCCTG